CTGACTCCATTTTGCTTCTAACCTCACAAGCCGTCCTTGTTCATTTCTGGGTGTATGCCAAGCTAACGATGAGAGGAATTTAGTTTGTAGTTTAACTTTAAAACAAGATTGTAACAATCCCTTCCCAAAAGTTACCCCCTTCTTGCTCTGTGATCAAAACCACTTTGGTAAAACTAACAAATTGGCTACAAGATTAGAATTAGAATTCAGGAGTCATGTAGCTGGAGGTCACAAGATTCATAACCACCCCAATTGCACTTTACAATAGTGAATAGATAACTTCACTATTGTAAAACCTAAGACTGATGTCTGAGGTATTTTTCAGACCTTGCAATCTAATGGACCAGCTAGTACCACAGGATTGGTGACCAGGTACCGTGACCCCTACCCAGGAAGTGACACAGCACAAGAACACAGCTTCAACCCCCTGCAATTTCATCCCCAACCCAAGCAGTCAGCACTTCCCTGTTCCCTAGCCCTCTGTCTGCCAAACTATCCTTTTAAAAAGCCTAGTCTGAATTCTTGGGGAGATGGATTTGAGAAACATCTCCTACTTGGCGGGCTGTGCAATTATTAAGTTCTTTCTCTGCTGCAATTCCTATTGGTCTCAGTGTGTGGCTTTTCTGGGCAGTGGACAAGAAGAATCTAGTTTGGCAATTACAATTTTATATTCAAACTGCAGAATACCAAAGACAGAAAAAAATATGTTAAAAAGCCAGGGGACGGGAGGGGAATAAAAATCCTTACCTGTGAAAAAGCAAAGATAAAATTACATCAGATTTCTCATTAAAAACCATGCAAGCAAAGAAAGTGGAAATAAATAAAGCAATGAAAGAAAAAAAAAAAAACCTACGTAGATTTCTATATCCTGTAAAATTAACCTTCAAGTAAAGGAGAAATAAAGATTTTCTCAAACAAAAACTGAGGGGAATTCATTGCTGGAAAGCCTACTCCATGTGAAATGTTAAAAGAATTTCTTCATGCAAAGGGAAAATGATATGAGCCAGAAACTCAGATTTACGTAGAGAAAGAGCATCAGAGAAGAAATAAATGCAGATATAATAAAAGGTTTTTATTTTTCCTACTCCACCTTGACCTAAAATGTAGCTGTTTGTTCGAATTAATAGTATTAACAATGTAATGATTGGTTATGGGACCTAAATCAGTGAAATGACTGGAAGCCCTCCTGTTCTATTTAACACTGCCAGTCATTTCACAGTGTTAAAAAGAACAAGAGGGCAGAATTTGTGACATTCAGCTGCATGATGTATTCTCTACTCATGAAGTGATATTGTGTAATTTAAAATGAACATTATTGGCTGTAAATATATATTACAAACTTCAGGGAAACCACTAAAAATGTTTTAAAAGAAGTAAAATTGATATGCTAAGAAAGGAGAGAAAATAGAATCATAAAATTCTCAATAAAACCAGAAAAGTCAGGAAAAAAGGAAGGAAAAAATCAAAACAGTAAGTACAATGAAACATTTATAAATGTGGCAGATATTAATCTAACTACATTAATAATTGCTTTAATGTGAATTGTCTAAAAACACCAATTAAAAGACAAGAGATCCACAGAGTACATAAAAAACACAAAACACCCAACTACACATAGTCTGTAAGAAAGCCATTTTAAATATAAAAATACAGATAGGTTAAACATAAAGGGATGGAGCAAGATATACCATGCCAACACTAATCATAGAAAAGTGGTAGTACTATATCAATTTCAGACAAAGCAGCTTCAGAACAAGGAAAATTGTCAGGGATTAAAGAGGGGCATTGTTTAATGATCAGTTCTCCAAGGAGGCATGCAATCCTTAATGCGTATGCAACTAACAAACTAATGGCAAAACATATGCGACCAAAACATATGGAACTATAAAGAGAAATAGACAAATTCACTACTGTTGTTGAAGACTTCAACACTTCTTTTTTATTAATTGATATATCACAGAGGCAGAAAATCAGTACGGATGTAGTTGACCTGAACGGCAACAGCCATCAACTTGATCTAACTGACATTTATATGATACTCCATTTACCAATAGCAGAATGCATGTACTTTTTAAGTTCACATAGAATATTTGCCAAGATACACCACATTTTGGGCCATAAAATATACCTTAACAAATTTAAAAGAATAGAAATCATAAAAGTTTGTTCTCAGACCATAAACTACAAATCAGTAACAGAAAAATAGCTTGAAAATTCTGAAATATTTCCAGATTAACCAACATAGTTCTAGGGTCAAATAAGAAGTCTCAAAAGAAATTTTAAAATATTTTGAACTAAATGAAAAGGAAAATAACATTAAAATGAATGAGATGCAACAAAAGCAACACTTAGAAGGAAATGCGTAGTATTAAATGCATATAACAGAAAAGAAGAGGCTGGGCTTGATGGCTCACACCTGTAATCCCAGCACTTTGGAAGGCCAAAGTGGGCAGAGCATGAGGTCAATAGATCAAGACCATCCTGGCCAAGATGGTGAAACCTCATCTCTACTAAAAATGCAACAACAACAACAACAGCAATTAGCTGAGTGTGGTGGTGGGTGCCTGTAATCCCAGCTACACGGGAGGCTGAGGCAGGAGAATCACTTGAACCTGGGAGGCGGAAGTTGCAGTGAGCCGAGATCGTGCCACTGCACTCCAGCGTGGTGACAAAGTGAGACTCCATCTCAAAAAAAATAAAACAAAACAAAAAGAAAAAACAAAAGAAGAAAGATCTAAATCAATAAGCTTTCATCTGAGGAAACCAGAGAAATAAAAGAACAATTTAAGCCTCTGATGTGAGCAAAAAATAAATAATAAAAATTAAAGTGGAAATTAATGAAATTGAAACAGGAAAACATTAGAGAAACTCAATGAAACCAAAAGCTGATTCTTTGAAAAGACTGATAAAATTAATAAACCTCTAGCCAGGCTAACAGAGGAAAAAATAGAGAAGACAGAAATGATCAGAATGCAAGACTGTGAATTCCATCAACAATGAAATGGTCATAAAGGAAAATTATGGACTCTCCACCTAGAAATTTGGTAACAGATGAAATGAACAAATTCTTTAAAAGGCAAAATAACCAAAACTTGCACAAGAGATAGATTGTCTGAATAGGCCTATATCTATTAAAGAAATTTGACTCAATAATGAATAGCCCTCCAGAAAGGAAAGTCCTAGACCCATACGGTATTCCTAGCTAATCCTACCAGACATTTAGGGAAGAAATGACATCATTCTCCCCAATTTCTTCCAAACATAAAAGCAGAGGCAACACTTCTTAACTCATTCTCTGAGGTCAGCATTGCCCCCTTGTCACCTCTCAGTGCTGTCTTTTTCCTGCTTGGTGACCATAGGCTGGCTGGACTTTTGAGTTCCACTGCTCATCTTCCCTTCGCTAGAGAGCAAGTGAAAGAGAGATGACTGGGATGCCTGCCTGGGAGTGGTGGCACTGGGCACTGAAAACCAGCCCGGTGCCACCACTGCTGCTGGTGGCAACAAAAACTGTTGCTCTCTTGGGGCTGTACCAGTGCCAGAAGTAGCCTTGGCACAGAGTCCCAAGTAGACAAGTTTCCATACACTTCTACATTCCATATGCTGTTAGCATTTTTATCAAGAATGTCAGTCCTCCCTTGGTATCTGGGGGGAATGGCTTCCAGGACCCTCTGTGGATACCAAAATCCATGGATGCTCAAGTCCCTGATATAAAAGGTGTAGTATTGGCATGGACCCTATACATCCTCCGGTATGTTTTAAATCATCTCTAGATTACTTAAAATACCAATACAATGTAAATGCCAAATCGTTATACTGTATTTTAGATTTTTATGTTACTTTTTATTGTTGTTATTAATGTTTTTTAAAAAAAATATTTTGCATCATGATTGGTTAGATTCATGGATACAGAATCTACAGATAAGAATGACTGTATTGACATACTTGTTTTATTTATTTATTTTTTTTTCAGATAGAGTTTTGTTTTTGTTGCCCAGGCTGGAGTGCAGTGGCGCAATCTCGGCTCACCGCAGCCTTTGCCTCCCTGGTTCAAGCAATTGGCCTGCCTCAGCCTCCCGATTAGCTGAGATTACAGGCATGTGCCACCATGCCCAGCTAATTTTGCATTTTTAGTTTTCTCCATGTTGGTCAGGCTGGTCTTGTGTTTTTTTTTTTTTTTTGGTTTTTTTTTTTTGAGACGGAGTTTCGCTCTTGTTACCCAGACTGGAGTGCAATGGCGCGATCTCGGCTCACGGCAACCTCCGCCTCCTGGGTTAGGGCAATTCTCCTGCCTCAGCCTCCTGAGTAGCTGGGATTACAGGCGTGAGCCACCGCGCCCGGCCTTGTCTTATATTTTTTAATGATTATTTCCAGGCTTCTCTGACCAGATATGTAAAACATACCAGAACAGAAAAATAAAAATAGCAGAAGCAGCACTCCCTCTCTACCTGCTGGTATTTTTTCTTGGGTCTCATCTGCTTTTACTTCCTCCTACCAAGTATGCGGAGATCCTGAACTGATTCTAGAGCTAAGAGCCACATAAAGGGGCTCAGAGCAGAACTGGTCCCCAGCTACACAGCCTGGAATGTGTGACAACAGACAGGTATTTGGATTTTAATTCTTCTAAAAAGATCTTTTTTAGACAGAGTTGTCTTTTGGCGTAGGGATGAAGGAGGCCTGGGGGAGAGGAAAGGGTTCAGAGATCATGGGTAATCATCCTATCCTTCAGCAAAGCCTCAGAAGGCGCATGATGTTCAAACAGCTCCAGTCCAGCCATTCACAGATGTAAGGAAATAGGAAGACCATGTGAGTCAGAGCGCCCTTAAGTTTCTCCAATAGCCAATCCCTGCAATTTAAAAAATCTGATTGCCTTGTTATTTATTTGTAACCTCATTTTATTGTACAGCTGTAGAGTGAAGCTGGGTAGACATTTTTAAGTAACAAGTGTGAATGGGAACCCTAGCAGAGCTGAAGGACAGACAGGAAAGGAGATGATGACCCACCTGAAGTTGAGATCGCTGCCTCCACTTGCCATCTGCCCTTGCTGGCCCTGCTGGGCCATGAGCTCAGCCAAGGATCACACCCGATTCGCTTTTCACTGCCGCTGTCCCTTCCTGCAGCTCTGAGGTGAAACTGCCAGCTGCCCCTTGTGGCTGGGCCAAAGAAGAGAAGAAAAGTGAAACCAACTAACCACCTGACCTGGCTGCCAGTTCTACAGTCCTCTCTCCACCCAATCACCCTTAGGTCTTGCAGTCAAGGGAGGAGGAGCGGAGCCAGCCCCACGAGGCCAAGGAAGATGGGGTCGTTTGTTCCTGCCAAGGAAAGAGGGTGAAAAAGTCGTTCCACTTAAGCAGATCAAAGTTGTTTTGAGGTAAGATGGCATCATGAGGAGGGAGCAAACTCCACGTTTGTCCCTACCCCTTGCTGAAGTGGCTGAGAAGGACAAGTGAAGACCAGGTGTTTCAAATCTTCAGTCAGGCTCCAGGGCTAGCCATACACCTTGGTGAGCCTGGGCTGGATGAGTTAGGCCCAGTGTTTGGAGATGGCCCTAGAGAGAACTGAAATACCTTGCATTATAAAGTGAGGGAGATGTCCTTTCAAGCACTCCTTGAAAGCAGACAGAGGTAAGAGACAGCTCTCTCAACTCCTCCAGCCAAAGGCAAGTGCTGAGGTTGGGCAAGAGAAGTGCAATTCTAAGTTTTCTCAAATACATGGGCACTTTACAACTGCAGCCAGGGGTAATGGGGAAAAAAAATGAGCTTCCAGTATTTCACTGAAATCTTGAGGAAAGTGACAGCCTTCTCATTGGACAGGGAGAGGATTAGAGCTGAGATTATCTAGACCTTCAATGACAATATGATACTGGAGGATAGCTGTATGACATTTATGTTTGTACACAATTTCTCATTCTGTAAAGGATTTTAAATAATTTACAAAAACACACTGTATCAGCATAAAGTCAAATGATAAACAAATGGGAGCAAAGAACAAATATAATAAATAAAACCTCAGGACTTGAAATCCAGGCAGAACAACGGGTCAAAGACAGAGGGCTAATGGGAGCCAGGGTGTGGGTAGAACCCAGGGCCAGTGACAGAGCAGTGGTGAAGATTGAAAAGCCAGAGGCAAAGTAGTATTTTTCCAAAACATCTGCCTGTAAATACTACTTTTTCTGACTCATTACACATATGCAAGGAAATTTGCATATATGTTTGCAAAATATAGAGGGCAAGAAATGTCTACACCCTCCTCACTTATGCTTGCTTTCTACCAAAGGAACAAACGCCAGTCTGGTCGAGACAGACTCCAGAACACTGATGAGAACACCTTTTCCAGTAGGCAGGCAGGGTCACTGTGACTACCAGATCTTGCATATGTCTGGTGCTCAGTCTCTCCCTCTCTGTCTTGCTCTTCCTCCCTCCCTCTCTAGGACAAGAAAAGCTAGTAGGCTGGGCCTCTGTTGGACCCAGCTGTCCCATGGGGCTCCAACAAGGCCTGGCACAGATAATACCAGCTGCTCCAGCACCACCCCCCCCCCTTCTATCTGCCTGTAGGCAGCAGGCAGGCCCAGGACACCAGTGAACTGGGCATTTTTGAAAGTCTGCCAGCTTCTTTTGCTTACAAGCACAAGGCCATTAGTGTTCCTCAGCTGACTGGTGGTAAGATTGGGACTTCAGAGATACTGCTGCTACTAGAAAGCCCTGCTCTGCAACACCACACATTAACTCAGGTAAGGACAGCCTGGAATTTCGATTCTATTTCCCATTTGTCTTGTTTTTCCCTATGCTCACTACAGAACCTCTCCTGGGTAAGGGATACCTGGGCCAGGCATGTGTAGGACCATCAGACCATCCTTGGTTCCCAATGTCTTCCTTTACTGCCATGTGACCTGTGGGGCCAGAAGCCTCCAGCCTGCTTCCTGTCTCTCTTCCCCATCCAGATTTAGGGCAAGTAGGTGATATTCCCCAAAGGTAAATGAATGCTTTCATTCTACCTGAAAGATTTCTCTTCATTTTGCTAAGTATGCTAGAATCTGACACCTAGAATTGGGGAAATGAACTGTAGAGTCGTAACCACAATCCAGGGCTGCAATTTAATGTGCCAACCCACCCCTGCTTGCTCATGATGCCTAAATTCCTGACTCTGAATTCTGATGGGGATGTTCACTGCTTTTATGTCCAATTATGTCAGGTAACCAATCCCAGATTGATCATTTTTCCTTGAATACCTCTTGCCTATAATTCAACCTCTGCTACCCAATTTGTTTGTCAGTCAGAACTGGGGAGTAAAAGTAATCCAAACCAACTCTGGCTAACTCAGGCAGAAAGTCAGATTCTTAGAACTACATTGGGTAGCTCGCAGAATGTATGGGAAAGCCAGAGGACTAGGCTAAGAAAATAGGCAGTCCAGGCAGGTTATATTAACTCACTTACCCTTAGTCATAATATCGTTGAAAGGTATCTGGATCACCTGGACATTCCATAGAATGTCAGACTGATTGATTACATTTGGTGACATCAGGCTCATCAGACAGAATGAGCAAGATCTTGGTGGCCAGCACACCTGCTGAAGAAGAATAAATCACTGACCCACAACAAGGATGAATCTCAAAAGCGTGATGTGAGGAAAAAAAGCCATACACCAAAAAGTGCATTCCATGTGCATTCATTGATAAATAACAAACTTTAATAAAGACAAAACTAATCTTTAGTGATAGAAAACAGACCAGTGGTTACCTGGTGTTGGCCTTAAGGAGGGAATTATCTGCAAAGGGCACAGGAACTTTCTGGGGTGACAGAAATGGTATATATATATATATATTTTTTTTTTTCTTTTTTTGAGACAGGGTCTCACTCTGTCACCCGTCACCGGAGACTTGACCTCCCGGGCTCAAGCAGTTCTCTGCCTCTGCCTCCCTGGTAGCAGGGACCACAGGTGTGTGCCACCATGGCCAGTTAATTTTTAAAAATTTAGTTTTGTAGCAATGAAGTCTTGCTGCGTTGCCCAGGCTGGTCTCAAACACCTGGGCTTAAGTAATCCTCCTGCCTCAACCTCCCAAACTACTGGGATTATAGGTGCAAGTCTATATCTTGACTGGTGTGGTAATTACATTTGGTAAAATGTACATTACAATGAATAAATGTTATACCTCAACAAAATGGAGCTAAAAAAGAATTATATGGTTGAAGACAGTGTGGCGATTCCTCAAGGCCTTAGAAATAGAAATTCCATTTGACCCAGCAATCCCATTACTGGGTATATATCCAAAGGCCTATAAATCGTTCTACTATAAGGACACATGCACACGAATGTTCATTGCAGCACTGTTTACAATAGCAAAGACCTGGAATCAACCCAAACGCCCATTGATGATTAGACTGGATTGGGAAAATGTGGCACATATACACCATGGAATATTATGCAGCAATCAGAAATGATGAGTTTGTGTCGTTTGTAGGGACATGGATGAATCTGGAGAACATCATTCTCAGCAAACTGACACAAGAACAAAATGAAACACCGCATATTCTCACTCATAGGCGGGTGATGAAAAATGAGAACACATGGACACAGGGAGGGGAGTACTAAACACTGGGGTTTATTGGGGGAAAAGGGGGAGGGCCAGTGGGAGGGGGAGGTGGGGAGGGATAGCCTGGGGAGAAATGCCAAATGTGGGTGAAGGGGAGAAAAAAAGCAAAACACACTGCCATGTGTGTACCTACGCAACTGTCTTGCATGTTCTGCACATGTACCCCAAAACCTAAAATGCAATAAAAAATTAAAAAAAAAAAAAAAGCTATGTCTCAGGTATACCCTATCAAAATTTTTGTGATAAGTCAGTGAAGTAATTTCTTTTTTTTTTTTTTTGAGACGGAGTTTCACTCTTGTTACCCAGGCTGGAGTGCAATGGTGCGATCTCGGCTCACCGCAACCTCCGCTTCCTGGGTTCAGGCAATTCTCCTGCCTCAGCCTCCCGAGTAGCTGGGATTACGGGCACGCGCCACCATGCCCAGCTAATTTTTTTTTTTTTTTTTGTATTTTTAGTAGAGACGGGGTTTCACCTTGTTGACCAGGATGGTCTCGATCTCACGACCTCGTGATCCACCCGCCTCGGCCTCCCAAAGTGCTGGGATTACAGGCGTGAGCCACCGCGCCCGGCCCACATTCCCTTGTTTTTTTGTGTTGTTGAAGTTTGATAATTTCCAGCAAATTTATTCAGTTATGTAAACATCACCACACTCTAATTTGAGAACATTTTCATCACCCTAAAATGTACAGAATAAGGGTAAGTCATGGGAAAATCACTGCGGGTAGGGAAGCAGTTGGACGGTGGGTTCCCAGTTCCCACTGCTGCAGGGGCTGGACCCCAATGCCCCCTCCTCCCATACCCCGCTCTCTGGGCCGATCCCAACTGGCAACATGCCCTCCCCCAAACCCCAACTGCCAAGACACCCTGAGAGCCTCACAAGTGTCCCTGAGAAGGTGGAGAGAGGCTGCAGGCACTGACCTGCCTTCAGCTTCCTGCTTGGCAAACTCCAAACAGTTTCACTTTTCTTTTCTCCGAAGACTGGCCCCGTACTGCGTGTATCAAAGCACAGACTTCCTGTTTTGCCTGCTGGCATCTCCCCGTAAATCTCCCAGTCTTTCAGGAGTGATCCCTGGCCCAGTCCCTGGAACCTGGAAAAGGGCAGGAACAACAAGCCCAGCGTCGAGGTGAGTTTCTGTCTTTGCTGCTTTATTCTTCGCTCTTGGTGACTACAGCTTTTATAATTAACTTCCTGGCAGCAGCTGCAGGGTGAAGTTCAACTATTTCAACTCTGAGGAGCTCTCAGAGCTCAGGCACATGGTACTTATTAGGAGACTGTGAAAAGGAGGGCCATGGAGGGAAAACAGACAACAACTCTTTTTTCCCCATAGGGTCTATCCTGTTACTGTGAATGGAACCGAGATTTGCCCTCTACCCTCCCCTCAGCTCTGATCCTGCCCACAGTGGCTGCTCATCTGTTATCCATTGTGTAAATGACTAGAGGTCCTTGGGAAGCTGGTGGAAAAGGAAAACATGAGAGTACATTTAATTTCCTCTCCAATGTATCATGAACTTTTTATATATTTTCTTTAAATGCATTCATGATTATTTCCTTGAAATAAATTATTAGAAGTGGGAATTCAAAGGAATTCTGTAATTTGTTTCAAGGAAATAATCATATTTTAGGGCATTTGACGCTAATTACTAAATCAGCCTCCAGAACATTCGGACCTGTTTACGTTCCCACTCACAGTGTCTGGAATTATGGCCATTATTTTCTACCTTGGCCAATTTGATAGACAAATATGTTATCCAACTGTCTTCATTTACATGTTGGATGATTTTGTTTTGGGTTTTTTTGTTTGTTTGTTTGTTTGTGTTTGTTTTGAGATGGAATCTCACTCTGTTGCCCAGACTGGAGTGCAGTGGCACCATCTCAGATCACTGCAATCTCCACCTTCCAGGTTCAAGAGATTCTCCTGCCTCAGCCTCCTGAGTAGCTGGGACTACAGGCATGTGCCCCCACACCCAGCTAATTTTTGTATTTTTAGTAGAGACAGGATTTCACCATGTTGGCCTGGCTGGTCTCAAACTCCTGACCTCAGGTTATCCGCCCGCCTTGGCCTCCCAAAAAGTGCTGGGATTACAGGCATGACTCACTGTGTCCAGCCTTCATTTATACTTTCTACTAGCTAGTTAACATGCTCTTTATATATGCATTGTACATTTGGATTATTCTTTTATCATTTCCTATTCATGTATTTTGCTTTTTTTTTCTAGTTGGATGTTTGTCTTTTGCTTATTTGTTTGTAAAATCTCTTTACATAATAAAAATCTGAATAGTCATTGATGAGATGTAGTATCTTGTATAGAGAGAAACAGGATGTTAGAGTCAGACAAGCTCTACTTTGCCACTGAATACCTTGGGTGAGTTACTTGATCTCTCTGTGCCCCCCTTTCATCTTTGGGACTCATGACAGATAAAGAATGAGGAAGCTTCAGACTTCCTGTTCTGAGCACTGCTATGTAATGAACTGTCCTAAAAGAAGCCCCAAGACCCCTTCCTCTTCTTAGCATATATTCATTCTGACTTTCTCTGACTCTGCACTGATCTTTGCACTATCTCCTTCCCCTAGCTATATTGTGGATAGTAGATTTCTCTCCTATCTGTTCTCTGTCTTCCAAAACTTCTTCCCCACCACTGACTCTCAATAGCATCTTTTCTGGTTTTCCAGTGCTATTGCAGATTATTCTTTTCATGATTTTTTTTTTTGCCAAGTTAAAAAAAAATTGGGAATGAGGAGAAAGAGACTAGGGTGCTTCATCTGCTACTGGGATTAAATCCCTGGAAACAGTTGTTAATTACAATTTAATTTCTGTTCAACACAAAATGAAGTTGGAAAAAATGGAATCCATGTTTGTTTTGTTTTTTAAAAAATCTCAAGTCCATTGACTGTTTTGTTAGTGACTTCCTTTTCTTGACAACTTGTCAAGAATGTCATTTGTAAATTTTCTGCCCATTATAACCTAATGATATCTTCTCATGTCCATAAATGGCCAATCTTTAATAAACGTTGCATGGGCTTGGGAAAGGCATATGTCTGAGATGCGAAATGTTTGCATTGAACAAGTCAGTTAAGTCACTTTTACTAAGTATGCTTCTCAGCCCTCATGCTTTTATTTATGCTTGGCCCATTCGTGTTGAAGATTGGGAGTGGTTTAAATGATATTCATAGAGGAAACACTCTATAAATATCACTACTTTTAATATCTGCCTTATGTTTACCTGCAGCCCCTTGGGATTCTGTCATTATATTTTCAGTCACTCTCAGCCTCCATCATTGCTAGGAATTGTCATTGTTTCCAATACCCATGAGGCTTTTAAGCTGACATTGCCTCGCAGGCTACTAAGGATGCCTTTGGGACCAGAATGCCTACCTTTAGACCTGCCCATTTTATGCAGAGAGAAGCTCCCCACACTCCTCAAGGTCTTTGCTTGTATTTTGTTTGTTTGTTTGTTTGTTTTGAGATGGAATCTTGCTCTCTCACCCAGGCTGGAATACAGTGGCACAATCTCAGTTCACTGCAACCTCATCTCCTTGGTTCAAGCGATTCTGCTGCCTCAGCCTCCCCAATAGCTGGGGACTACAGGTGCGCACCATCCACGCCCAGATAATTTTTGTATTTTTAGTGGAGATGGGGTTTCAACATATTGGCCAGGATGGTCTTGATCTCTTGACCTCATGATCTGCCCATCTTGGCCTCCCAAAGTGCTGGGATTACAGGCATGAGCACCACACCTGGCCTTTGCTTCTATTTTTTATCATGCCTTTTTCCATAGGATGTTCACCATGACAAGAGCCATGGAAGAGGCTCTTTTTCAGCACTTCATGTACCAGAAGCTGAGGATCGCCTATGCCATACACAAGCCATTTCCCTTCTTTGAAGGCCTCCTAGACAACTCCTTCATCACTCAGAGAATGTACATGGTGAGTCCTGTTGGACCCTTCCATGGGAGCCCAGCCCCCACCAAGTACACCCAATTATTGAGGTCTCAAACCACAAACCACCGGGGCCTCTAGAGTTTGGAAGGCCTAGCCTGGCCATGTTCATTATCTCAGAAGGTGGGGGTGATTAGGAGAGAGAGAGGGTGTCTTAGGGGCTATATTGGTTTCTAGTGTGTCATAAAAACTGCTGTGACAACCAGGTGGCTGAAAACAACAGAAATACATTCTCTCAGTTGTGGAGGCCAGAAGTCCAAACCCAAGGTGTTGACAGGGTTGGTTCCTTCCAGAGGTCTTGAGGAGAATTTGATCCCTCCTATCCCCTAGCTTCTGGTGGCTGCTGAAAATCCCTGGTGTTCCTTGCCTTGTAGACATGATGCATCACTGTAATCTGTGTCCATCTCTACATCACCTCTCTTTTGAGTCTTCTACCTAATCTCCTGAGGACACTTGGATTTAGGGTCACCCTGAATGAAGATGATTTTGTCTCAAGATCCTTGAGACAAAATCCGGTTAATTACAACTGCAAAGACACTTTTTCCAGATAAGTTCACATTCACAGATTCTAGATCCATATATCTTGGCCGAGGCGGGCACCATTCAACTCACAACAGGCATCATCCCAATTTATAACAGCTTATATTGCTCACAGTGCATTCTGATGTGAGACAGGCAGGCACTGGGAGATAAGCTACGTGGACAAAAGTGGACCCATTTTTACATAATTTGGGTTTTTAAAAGCATTTATTGACCCATAGACTCAGGAAAGTGCCAGCCATCTTCCCTTAGTCTTAGCCTGCTGGACCCATCTCCCTCTTCAGATCACAGATGAGATAGTACTCCTCAGAGACGTCTCCTTGACCCACTCATCTCATTAAGACCCCTTAGTTACTCAGTTCCATCACAATCTATGCTTTCCCTCCATAACACTACTCTCAATTGTAAATGGGTATTTATTTATGTTTATTTAATGCCCATCTTCTCCACCTGACAGTGCCTACCCCGCCCCCCAGATATGGGCAGCTCCATGTTGGTCTTATTCAGTGCTGTGTATCTAAAGACTTGCTGGCTGAGCATAGTAGGTATTCAGTGAACATTTGCAATCAATTCTCTTTTGCCATATTTCTCCTTTTGTCCATCCTCTCAGCAAGGAAAATTCTCTGGGTGACTTCTCTGTGGCTGGAATCCATTCAGGGCATCTCAAGTTTGAGAGACACACAGAGCGAGAGCGCAGAGGCTAACATGCAATCAACAGAATTGCCTCTCTGACCATCACTAGAACCATTGCCGAGGTATCCTGCCCAGGGCCTTAAAGAATCAGTTACATAGCAGCATCCTGTAATTCCACTTTCCTTCCTTAAAATTTCTCTCTTGTCTCAAATGTGCCTGAAATGTGGATTCAGAATATAGACTTACTTTAAAGAAAGCTAAATTATTTATTTTTGTCACTAGTCATCCAAATAGGTGTAAAGTTTCAAAAGTAAGCATGTAAAACTGTGACCGCTCTACCTTAGAAACTGTGACTCTACATTTTATGTTAAATTTCTTCTTAAAAGAGTAAAGTAGCTTTCTTAAAACTGGGAAGATCACAAATGTATAACTTCCCATTCAATTTTATAATCATTGATAATAAACCTTCACTCCATTTTTTAAGGAATCTCTGGAAGCCTGTAGAAATTTGGTCCCCGTATCCAAAGTGGTGCACAACGTTCTCACCCAACTGGAGAGGACTTTTAACCTGTCTCTTCTGGTGACATTGTTCAGTCCAATTAACCTGCATGAATATCCCAATCTGGTGACGATTTACAGAAGCTTCAAACGTGGTAATGAGATTTCTCAAGTGCTTTTTGCATTTAAAAAGTTGCTATGGTAAAAGTCTGGGTCTACTTCTAGCCCTGTGGAATATCCACATTAATCTCTGGCTTTCTCTTTAGGAAAGAATGGACTCATTTTCTTTCATTGGGGCTGCAGGGGCAGCCCCTTGCTAAAGCTGACCCCAGCTCTCTAAGATGAATTTCCAGAGGGCATAAACATTTTTGTGGGTTCTATGAATTTGGAAAAAATCATAAAATTTGGCATACTGGACAATCTATAGGGAATGAATAAGGTGACAGAAATGCAAAGTTACAGAGAACAGGTCTGGTGGAAGGACAAGATCAACCAGGGAGGAAGAAAAATGAATAAGGATGGATAATAAGAAGTATCTTTTTCTTTTTGCGTTATCGCAAATACTTTATTTGATTATCTCATGTCATTTTTAAAGCAACCCTGTGAAGTCATTTTTGTCTCCATTTTACCAATAGAGAAATTAAAGCCCAGAGGTAATTTTCTCAAGGTTAATTGTCTGTTGTCTGTTAAGAAGCAGAGTAAGAGTCCTACTTGGGTCTCCCAACAACAGGGCCTGAGATTTTAACCACTAGTCTAAACAAGGACAGCTGGAAGGCATACAGTAACTCTAGAGAAGGGAAGAAAGGTAGCTACAGAGAAAGGGAGGGAATCGCAGACACAGCCACAGAGAGAGGGTCTGAGAAAGAGTGGAGCATGAAGTACATGGAAAAAGAAAAGAGACTGGATAAATAAAGGAGTAGGAAAAAGAACAGTGGCAGAGTGGAAGAAAGCAGCCAGGGTAAAAGAGCAGGCAGTGAAGTCATTTTAGGTTGGAAGAAAAAAAATGTGGACAAAGCATATGTTCACTTGCCTCAGAACAACAAGGGAAGGGCCACTAGCCACATTGGATTGTGATGTTTTCTTTAGTGGAATCGCCATTGTTGACAATTCCTCCTTTGCTCTCTGACACTTCACCACTAAAGGGTTCCCCCCAAAGGGGCAAATGATTTCTTGAGCTAAAGGGACAGTGAAAGGGACAAGTCACGTACAGGCAGGGGCAGCTACAGAGAGCCCACTGTCCTGGCAGGATCCTGGCAACATTAGGAGAGAGGCACGGCCTTAAAGGCAATGTGAAGAACATCTGAGAGGCACGGGGACCCACGCACTGATGTGCCCCTGACCTGGCTGAGCTTCGGGTGTCTTCCACAATCTTCAACTTGATGGTTTTCTTCTGGATCCCTTTTCAAAATTTGAAGTTACTTTCCTTTCTCCATTCACTGGTTGAGATCATTTGACTTCTGAAATAAATGATGGAGAAGAATCATAAGAGAAACCCAGCACTAGCCATGCAAGGGAATAGCATGTGGAAAGCCAAGGGTCTGGGGTATTGTGGATGGGAGAGAAAGCTGGGTGTGGCCAGACCACAGGGTATAATAGAAGGCACAGAAGCTGACTCTGCAGAAATGAGCAGAAACCAGAATATGAATGTCCTAATATATCCTGCTAAGGAATTTTTACTTTCTCTTATTTGCTTTGGGGAAGTATGATCTATTTATTAAAACAGAGACTTCTTTTAAAACTGTAGCATGTTCATTATTGACTAAATTATATGACACCAAAATTAAAGACAATTAAATCCCTGGGTACAAACCTAAACCCAACTTTATGTGTGAAATCGTTTTGGTATTAGATCAGGGCTTAGATCGCAATGCCCAAACTATAAATAAAATACAAAGGGGCTGCATGTGGATAATGATGACAGTGAATCAGTTCTATGCCCCTGGGAGACAATGAATAACTCCATGTCTCAATCCCCTTCCCCAAGTAATTCTGAATCTACAGGATACTGATGTATGTCCCTCACCAATCCCAGTTGGTGAACAGCAGAGCAGAGCTTCCTGTGAACAGCAGAGCAGAGGCACACCAATCCTACTTGAAGCCCCAACTGACCTAGCAGGAGGAAGCTCCCTGCCTACCCTGCTGCCGCTGCCCCCACCACAAACCCCTCAACCAAGCTGTTCATCCTGTGCACCAAGAGTCAGAGAGCCTGGAACATCCTCACAGCAAAGTGATGAGATCCTGAGTGAATCACCCAGCCCATCTGACCGTACCCTGCCTCTTCCTGGACTCATCCAGGAAGGAAGGAACTCTCCAGGTGAGAAACAGATCCCATCCAACACCTGTATATCCCCAGCATAGGGCACCTGTGCCATGTTGCCTCCAATCCCAGCATCTTGTCTTTTATTGTCCTAGTTCTTCCCCTACACCCACCTGCCCATACACAGCCCTTTTTGAGGGGAATTACGAGCACTGCCAGGAGGCTGGGTAAGACCTAGAGTCTAGAACTCCTGCTTCCCACTCCTGGGACAGCCCAACCCTCTGCACTTGTGCCTTAATGCTCTGCCTCCCCCGGGAACTTCTAATATTCACTCTCCTCCCTCACGTCCAGTCCCTGTTATCTGTAATAATTTCCTTTCCTCCTTCAGTGACCAGTGACAAGTTAACACCCAAAATGAATGAGGAAGAAGACTCAAAAGAGATGCCCAGCCTCCTCGCTAGCACTGTGCAAGGTAACACTGACTGGGGCTGATACAGCTTAGCTCAAGGTGGATGTGAAGGGAGAAGAGAACACATATCTGCCAACCAAGAGGCTACGGTGGGAACCCTGGGAAAAAGAACTGGGCGTGACAAAGACAAAGAAGCAGACGGGGCCTGTTCCCCAGTGCAGCAATGCAAAACAAACGGACAACCAAAACAGCATTCTGAATTGACAAGTAACCTACGTAAACTCACGCTAGTGACCCTTAGCGGATTCCTCACGCCCACCATTCTGAATTGACAAGTAACCTACGTAAACTCACGCTAGTGACCCTTAGCGGATTCCTCACGCCCACCATTCTCAATTGACAAATAACCTACGTAACACTCACGCTAGTGACCCTTAGCGGATTCCTCACGCCCACCATTCTGAATTGACAAGTAACCTACGTAACACTCACGCTAGTGACCCTTAGCGGATTCCTCACGCCCACCATTCTGAATTGACAAGTAACCTACGTAACACTCACGCTAGTGACCCTTAGCGGATTCCTCACGCCCACCATTCTCAATTGACAAATAACCTACGTAACACTCACGCTAGTGACCCTTAGCGGATTCCTCACGCCCACCATTCTGAATTGACAAGTAACCTACGTAAACTCACGCTAGTGACCCTTAGCGGATTCCTCACGCCCACCATTCTCAATTGACAAATAACCTACGTAACACTCACGCTAGTGACCCTTAGCGGATTCCTCACGCCCACCATTCTGAATTGACAAATAACCTACGTAACACTCACGCTAGTGACCCTTAGCGGATTCCTCACGCCCACCATTCTGAATTGACAAATAACCTACGTAACACTCACGCTAGTGACCCTTAGCGGATTCCTCACGCCCACCATTCTGAATTGACAAATAACCTACGTAAACTCACGCTAGTGACCCTTAGCGGATTCCTCACGCCCACCATTCTGAATTGACAAGTAACCTACGTAACACTCATGCTAGTGACCCTTAGCGGATTCCTCACGCCCACCTGATTATGGGAACCTTTGAGTTTCAACCTTCTTCATTTTTATATGGTTTGGATTCTTAGAGCAATATTACCAAAATTACTAGAAAAGATGATAAAATAGTTAAATGTCTGCTCGACCTGATATTTAGCTTCTAAAATTGTCCTACTTGTCCTCCCCAAACCATTGTCGTAATGGAATTTGGTTACATTAAATATAAGAATGGTATGTTATTGGGCATTGTCAAAACTGAGATCATGGATTCTGAGCTCTCCAGTACTGAGAATAGGGGTCCTCTTTGATGTATGCACCTGGGGAACAACGAATAATTCCATGGCCCCCTCCTACTGAAAGGCATGTGTTAAGAAATCCCCTTCATAAGAAATCCCTTTATGTAATACAAAATCCCCTTCCCCTGTTGCATAGGTGCTGTTCACAGGAAGCACCAACTGGGATTGGAGAAGTGACACACATCAGTACCCTGGAGACTCAGAATTACTTGGGGAAGGGGATTTCTTAAGGCATGCCTTCCAACAGGATGGGGACATGGAGTTATTCATCAAATAATGTTTCATCCACTCCTCTAATGCGTACCGTCCAAAAAGGTTAACGTAATCAGGAAGCTAACAGCAAGGGAAGAACAAGTGGATAACTGAGTGTGAATGTTTGCTTATTTTCCCACTCTGTCCCACCCCTGCCCAGGCCGTGGTTGCTCAGTCACTCCATTGTTTTTACTTGTTGGAATAGAGCATTCTCTTCCCCCCTCACTCTGGTCCCTGCTTGTTGTTCCTGAGATCTGCAACTTTTTCTTCCTCCTTTCAGTGGCCAGTGACAACCTGATCCCCCAAATAAAAGATAACGAAGGCCTTCAAGAGATGCCCCGCTCCCCCTCAGGCCCTATGCCAGGTAATCTTGATTCAGTTCACCTAAAAGCTTGCCTTTGTTTCTGTGTCTACTGAGAGGAAAAGCCATTTGGATCTAGAAGATTGAAAGGTTCTCCTCCCGCCTCTCAACAGCAATCTTGGCCCAGCTTCTAGTTCACCCAGCACTTGGGAGCCTGGACAGGCAGGGAATCTCATAGCAGTGTGTAAAGAAAAAGGTGACAGCTTCATGTGAGATGGGCCTTTAGTTGTTACGGCTCCAAGCCCGCTGTCTTTCCTTGTGCGGCAAAGACTAGCAGAGCTTTATATATCTTTGCTGTTAACCGATGCTAGCAAGCACAGGCTGGCTTCTGCTTTCTCCGCACAATCCTTGTACGCAGAAATACATAAGGCACTTAGCCTTCTTCACTATTTCTCTAAGTAACCACAGATAGAGCAGTTAAAGAATATTCATACATAGACATCAAAGCAATAAGATGTATTTTTCATACAGCAAAAACATTCCCCTTCATTGTGGCCATCAGATTTCAATGTCACCACTGTCCACTCTCAGCTTCATTTCTTGAGCAGGGGCTGCTGGGAGCAGCGACTGTGACTGTAGTCGTGATACCCAGTGTAGGGTTGACTGAAAGGAAGGAGAGGCAGACCCAGGGTCAGGTTTGGCAAGTTTATTCAACCTGCCAGGCTGGCTGCCTTACCACAGGCAGGGAAGGCAGCAGCCTGGCTTATACACCGTGGGGGTTATACAGGGAGGTTTGCAGGTAGCCGGGTGCTAGTCTAAGAAAAACTGCATCTTGGTTCTCAGGGGCTGACATTCTGCTGAATTGGGTTAACGTCCTGGGTTTGAGAGCCAGGTGCAACCACGTTCTGGAACCCAGGTGCCCTGTTTACAAGGCTTGTGGCTGTTTTTGTTACGAGCTTGGCTTAGCCGGGGAGAACGGGGAGGAGGTCTATGGCTTGTCTTGCTGTCACCCTAACATTCCAGTCTTGCGTTATATATATAAAAGACAGGGAAAGGGGGCGCCGTTCATTTCTAACTGCTTCATGCTGAGTGGGGGTGCTGGGTGGGGGGAGGCTGGCTTGCAAGTTGGTAGTCCTGGAACATTATCATGTCTTGTCTTGTGCCACGGGAAAAGCTTCTCATCGATTCTGCAAAAACTGGATAAAAAGGTAAGAGGCAGGGTCAAAGGCCAAAAGGAGGAAGAGAGTTACAGCATGGCCGAGGAGGGGAAGCAGCCAAGGGGCCCAGGAGCTGAGAGGCCAGCTGGGCCAGGAGGGCCGGGCAGAAGCGCCGTTTGTTTTTTTTTTCCGGGTTTGGTCTTTGAGTCTTTTGATAGTATTCTGTACTAACCTCGATGTATTGAGATAGAAACTGCATTTTTTATTTAAAAAGAGGCACAGACTTTTTTTTTTCCAGCAGTGAGGAGGTCTAGGTCTCTGCAGTTTTTGTAGAGTGACTGCTGTTAAAAGTCTGGTTGATTTGGGGAGTGAGTGATAGAGTTTGCATTTTTTTTTTTTTTAGTGATGATTGGCAGTTTTGGCAGAGCAAGTAAAACTATGATTATGAGGCTTTTAGGCTTCCTGCTTCTAACCTGACACTAGTTGTGACTTTAAGAGCTACTAATAAGGGAATGAACTGTATTTGCAGGGGAGGGGGGCATGTAGTGTAGCAGGGACAGGGAGTTTTTGGTTTGGAGGGACAAGGTCAATGTTGGGGGTCAGGTAGACTAGGGTGCAAATACCTGTCCAGTTGGCAGGAGACAGAAGGAATTTGTGGATCCGCAGAGGAAGAAGATGCCTGCGGTGTTAATGTAAACAGACAAGTGGATTGAGAATGCGTGTTGGAGTGTGTAGGCTCCTTGTTTGGAGGGACTTGGTCCAGCTTTAGCAACCTAGAGTGAGGAGGAGAGAGAGAGACCCCTTTGAGAGCTCCTGTCTGGGGAAGGGGTTTCCATGTTTGGGAGGCAGGAGAGGAGGTAATGCCGGGGGGCTGGGTAAAAAGGCCGTTAGCTTCAGGGGAAACTTAATAATTTACTTGGAGTGAGATATGGAAGAGGAATTGGAGATGCTCTGAGTCGACCCACAGGCAGAGAGGGAGGGATGGAGCGGAGCCTATGTGTATGCATCCACTGGAAGAGGTGACGCATAAGGGGGCTTGGCCAAGTTTTGAGGTGTGGAGGGTTCCGGGACTTTGGTTGGCAGGGTGAGGGAGTTTTGTGTGGTCGTAATTGGCAGTATATGTGGAGAGAAGTTTGGGAGCTCTGTTAGCGAGGGCAGTGGGATAGTTCTAGTGAGGGTCAGGACTCTGTCTACTAAGGCAGAGCCTTTTTGGATGGTGTGTGAGAAGCAAATGGGAATATGGTCCTAGGGCTAAGAAACTGGGATAGCTGAGTAGGCAGGAGAGAAAGGGAAAACAGGTATGGGAAGGTGGCCTCTTTTAAAGGGTTTACGAGGTGGCCGATAGAATCCTATGGATAGTTAAACTCTTTTTGAGACTTTTTTCTTTTTTTTTTCATGTGGGAACAGTGGAGAGGAGAGGACTTTTACTATTTGGTATGCTATGGGGAGAGGCTGTTTCTCTTGGTTGATGTGTAGGGACAGGAGGAGAGCCGAGGTCCCCTTGAGAGGAAGTGAGAGAGCAAACGTGACAGTTTGAGGTTACGTCTTTCGGTGCAATAAATAGATGGGGTAAAAGAAATAAGAGCAAAGGAGAAGGTACAGGGGGCGGCGCCAACGTGGAAGGACGGGTGAAGAGATGTTACAATTTCCTTGGTTGGTTTTTGAGGGAGGATGAGTTTTTTTATTTTTGACTATCCAGTTTATCTGGAAGGAGGCTCCTTGTTGTAACAATGAAGATTTTCGGTGGGGCAATACTGGAATTGGATTGTGGGGGTGATGAGGAGGAGGGGGGTAGGGGCAGAGGAAGGGAGGCTTTTTTTTGCTGCCCCATGGGACGTTTCTGTTCCCTTTTGAGATTTTATCTGATTTTGTTTGGTGTCCTTGGCAGTATAACTCCTGCCTTAGCTGGGAGGTGCAGCTTGGAGGAGTTGGTAAATAAGGGGACCATTAATGATGGGGGTTCCTGCCTAGAATGGGAGTAGGACAGCGAGGCACGATAAGGAAAGAGTGTCAGAAAATGGGATTAGATAGGGAACAAGTGAGGGGTTTGGTGGTGCATGGGTTTGAGAGCTGGGTGTGACCACATCCAGGAACCCAGAGGCCCTGTTTACAAGGCTTGAGGCTGTTTTTCTTAGGAACTCAGCTTAGCAGCGGAGAACAGGGCGGGGGTCTGTGGGCTTGTCTTGCTGTGATCCTAACACCCAGTAGTTTACTTCTGCCATTTCCATTCATTGCACCTTCTTCACTCACTTCTGTTCCGTCCATAAGAGAATCTAAAAGGATCAGACTAAGCCTCTGTTGTGGGGCAGTTGTGCCTTAGATCCCTGTGATGGTCACACAGGTAACAATAACCACAAGTTGGCAAAAATCAAGACAGAGCCAGGGAACCCCTAGGGCTAGCAGATCCCCAGGCCCGGGCTGCATGCACTTTCTACCTTTCTAGTTCTTCCATTGATTTCCCTCAGCACTTTCTCTTCACCTAATTTGAGCTCTGAAGTGACTTATATTTCTTTTGTCAGAGATAAGAGATGATTCTCTAGAACCAAATGACTCAGAAGAGCCCCAGGAGGTATCCAGCACACCTTCAAAGAAGAAAGGTAAGGAATGCCTTTCTCCTGTAGATATCGGAAGGGTGAATTAGAGTTGCTTTCTGTTTATCTGACTGTATCTTGTCAAGAGCACCGCTATGTGACCACAGTCCTGATGCCAAGCACAGTTTGTTTCTGCAGTTTTCTTTCACTGCATCTTCCATAAAGGCCTTTATGAAAATTATCGGACAACCAGAAGGCATCGTGGATATTGAAATATGCCATTGGAATTGCCTGTCCTGAAAAAAATTAGTCTCTATATCCACAACTTCTTAGAGTGTTAATTGCACCTTCCTCTTTAACTGGAAGTTGGTTCCCCAGAGAGGACCCGACTTCCTCTTAAGACATGGAGGGACATTCTCTGTCATCCATCACTCACACCTCATGGTGGGAGGCAGGTTAGATGTCCATCCTTTGCTGCCTCCAGACCCCATCTAGCCCCTTCCTCCCGCATCCTCTCCTTTGAGGCTTAACCATTCAGTTAAAATGTTCACTCACTCCTCATCAATATCATCCAATACTAATTTCCCCAATAATCCTTTCAAAGGCTGTTTTTCTGTCATTTCAAATCCCAGCATCTTCCTAGATGCCTTCAGGGTACACATGGATAACAGGCAACTCTGTTATCAAATACTCTGGTCTCTCAAATCCTTCATCTTCTCATTTTCCATGACTTTTTCCTCTACCAATTTTTGGCCAACCATACCAAAAGGCAGTCTATAGACCCTGTCATCATTCAAACCTGGCTCGGTTTCCCAACAGTTAATTTCAGAATTCCTTTTTTTGATACCTATCCTTGAGCTTTTTTCCTTCTATAGCTATCATTCAACCCCTGATCACCCTTTCCCAGTCCAATCCTAAAAAAAAAAAAAAAAAAAAAAAAAGAATCAAAAATACCTTTTTCTGTTTTCTTATTTATTTGTTTTTCCTCTGAAGCTGTCCTTCAGCCTCACTTGGATCACCCGTGCACGGACCTGTCCTCCTTTTAAGCCACCATCTGCTTCTCTTTGCTTCCCAGCTCTCTTAACATTGACACTAACCTTCAGTCCAAAATTCATCATTTCAATCCATTCCCATTATCTTAAACCTGCCTTTCCTCTCTGCCTTTTCCTGGAACTCTCTGGCAAGTCTTGAAGGCCCGACTTAGCTGCTTCCTGCACACTGCCTCTGAAGGCCAGCAGTGCTGGAGGGAGTTCCACAGCAGGGCAGAATGCACACGCTGAAATTCATGGTTCCAGCATGAATCATATCTCCGTACTGTGTGACAGTGCTACTTTCTGCAATAATCCTTTCAGACCTCAAGCCCTATTTTTCAAACCTCTGACTCCCTCCCCTCCTGCTTTTTTGCTTAATCATTGACTTTCCCTCCTGCACCACAAGAAGATATCAGATGAGAATCCCCTTATTTGTGCTGCTAGCCCTGCAAACCCTAACTGCATCTGTCTCCCTCCTCTCCAAGTTCCCTCCTTCTCTTCTAAGACAATCCTTCCACCTCATCTTATAGTATCCATGATCCCTTCTCTCTCAAGTATTCATTATAGCAGTATCTCTCACACAAGAATCTTCATTCACACAATAATTATATATATCATAGCTCATAAAAAAATGCTTTTTCTTCGGGGGCGGTGGCTCACGCCTGTAATCCCAGCACTTTGGGAGGCCAAGGCGGGTGGATAGCGAGGTCAAGAGATCAAGACCATCCTGGCCAACATGGTGAAACCCCCATCTCTACTAAAAATACAAAAAAATTAGCCAGACGTGGTGGCACATGCCTGTAATCCCGGCTATTTGGGAGGCTGAGACAGGAGAATCGCATGAACCCAGGAAGCAGAGGTTGCAGTTAGCCAAGAATGCACCACTGCACTCCAGCCTGGGCAACAAGAGCAAAACTCCGTCTCAAAAAAAAAAAAAAAAAAAAAGTTGTTTCTTGATTCTCGTCTCACTTCAGCTACTTCCATAGCTCTCTCTTTCATTTCACAGCCGAATGTCTAGAAATGAGCTACCTAAACTCCTGTCTCCATTTCTTCACTTCTCCTCCTCCTCTGTCATTTTAGAGTCCTTCTTCCCCTACTACTCCCTGAAGTAGCATCACCTAAGGTCACCAGTGACCTCCTAGCAGTGTGGTTTGAAGGCCAAAAGTAAAAGCTGAATATCACTGACATATAAGATTGGCAGATCAATATCTATAAAATATTATCCTTTCTTTTTAGGGAAGAAAAGTAAAAGATGTATCTGGTCAACTCCAAAAAAGAGACAGAAGAAAAAAAACCTCCCAAGAGGTAAGATGAGAGTAAAAGAAGAAGCTGGAGGCTGGAGACAGCTCATGCAGGGCTTAAAGGTCAAGCTGTGCAGGGCTGAATTTTATTCTAGATGCAATGGGAAGCCACTGAAGAGATTTAATCGGTGGAGTGACAGAATCTAAGCTCAATTTTGCTACTGTATAAAGAGTGAGTTGGAGCTGTGAAAGCATGGAAGAAGGGCAGCCATTTGGGGGCAGATGCCAAGAGAGTTGTTAGTGGCTTGGATTCAGATCTGACAGTGGAGATGCAGAGAAGAGTGCCAATCCAAGATCAGCTTCGCAGATAATGTTGACAGGATTTGACATATTGTTAGCTACAGATGAGAAGGAGAAAAGTCCAGGCCTACTCTTCAGTTTCTAGCTTGAATGATTAAGCGGTAACACCCATTGCTGAGGCAAGATGCAAATGTATCGGGGGATGACTCCTAGAGTTCAGTTTTTGACCTGTTCCTGAGGTTTCTGCTAGCCGTCTCTGCAGCTGTGCATAGATGTGTGTTTTGACGAGAACTGTAAAGGGTCTGAGACGTTACTCCACTTGCGTTGGTGCGTCCTTTGTATATATGAGTGCTGCAGGGACACAAGGTATCCGAGTCAGGGAAAATAATTCTTTACTGATATTCACAATCAGCTCATCAGCCAGAGTCACATTGCAGAGTCTGTCTCCCGTCCACAAACCCACAGGCAATGCCAAGGGAGCTAATGGAATCTTCCTATTCAAAATAGACTACAACTCATATATAAGGGATGGAGAAGGATGGACTTTCTGTTTAGATACATGACAGGGACAGCCATCGTCCTCTCCTCCTGAAAGAAAGGAAAAGAAAAAAGCTTTGCTGTTTTGAGATAAAGTGGAAAAAGATCTGGATTCCAAAGGTCCTCATCCTAGCCTTTGGAATTTAAACGCATCTTTCCAAAGGCCAGAGAAACTCCAGATGTTTCTGGCTTTTACAACCTAAAGATGTCTCTAAGTTCTGGGCTTTCTCCCTTGTAATATATAAATATCTAGGGAAAGACCACTCCAGTTATCCTGGTACTTTAGGACCTTAACCTAGGAAGCTAGTCCTGGGTGAACCCATTTGGCCATCTCAGGAGATAAGAGAAGTTGTATTATCCTTTTAGATCATAGCAATTAACTAGAAAAATAACCATAGCTGTAATTCTTATGGTATATGAAGAGTAAAATGTTTCCAGGGAAGTGAAAGCAAGTATTTCCTATATTTATATCGTATACATTTCTATGTCTCAGGGGTTAGGGCTTTTTATAGGAACACTGAGAAATCAGGAAGTTATATTCCCCCACAATATGGCAATTTGGCACTCATTGAAAAAGTCTGGTCCAGATATACATACATAGATACCCCTCTCTCTCTCTCTCTCTCTCTCTCTCTCTCTCTCTCTGTGTGTGTGTGTGTGTGTGTGTGTGTGTGTGTGTGTGTGTGTGAGAGAGAGAGAGAGAGAGAGAGAGAGAGAGAGAGAGAGCTATTAGTAAAATAAAGGAATTCTGATCTATGGGAGAAGAAAAGAGAACCAAGGACCCAGCCCTGCTCTCAGAAATCCCAATGAAAGAGGAATCGATCGAGGCAGACTGAGGGGACAAGACCAGTGAGGACAGAGGAGCACCAAGAAAGAACACGTCAGCAAGCCAAGAGGAAATGGTTGACTATACGGAGAGATGAAGATAAATTCAGAGAAAACAGCCTTGGGTTTGGTCACAAGGAATCACTCGGAAACTTAAGAAAAGTTTTGGCGATGGAGGCAGGAGCCAGTTGTATGGGTAGAATAATGAATGGGAGGTAATAACATAGGTAGACAACTCTAGCTGTAAGGGAAATGCAGCAATAGATGGCAGCCTAAGCCAGTGACTTAAAGCTTCTTTTCTCTGAGTTTACCCTTAGCATGATCCCAGTGTCCAAAATCGTAGGGTTGGTGTCCTGTTAAGGTACTTCAAAGAAATGATTCCATTCTATGAAAAGTAAGTGACCTTCCTGGGCAGGAGGCAGAGACAAGCTGCTTTCTCCCCCATTCGGCTTATAAGTCAGCGCCCTCTCACCTGTTGTGTGTGTTGTCTGTGGCCCTCCTTGGTTTACTATAAACTACTCGGGTTATTGAACTCGCACTCCTGAGCTTTGTCAACTACTCTCACAGCTTCAGTTACCACCTCTGCACTGGTGGCTCCCAAATCTACGTCTTCAACTCGGCTTTGCCTTCAAGACACCCATAGCCAGCGGCACACTGGGTATCTTTGTTTGCAAGTCTCCCGTTGACACTGCAGTCTCAATACGCCTGAAATTAAATTCATCTTCTTCACCAGAAACCTAGTCTTCTAAGTACCATTCAGACATTTATTCAGCAAACATGCAGTGAGCACTAACTGTACATACCCATTCTGAAAACTGAAGACAGGTGTTTTTAAAGAGAGAAAGCAAGAAAGTGAGCAAAAAAAAAAAGAAAGAGGAAAGATGATGGAGCTTACAACCTGGCTGAGGGAGAGAAAGAATATAACCTAGAAAGTGCATCAACGAGACAATTTCAAGTAGTGATGACAGGGTGAGAGAAAATAATGGATAGGGTTACAACAGTGACTTGCAGTTTGGGGTGGGGGTCACTTTGGATTGGATGGTCCAGGCAGAGGGACTCAAAAATGCAAAGGACCCGAGGCAGAGGAAACACCAGTGTTGTTGGCGATGATGAAGAGAGAAGGTGGGCGAATGTGAAAGAGTACACAAGGATCAGATTATGTAGGGTTCCACAGGCCTTCGGGGGATTTTGGAGGTTATTTAACTTGAAATGAGGAACCGAATTTACCCAGGTGCCAAGCAAAAGCCTAAGTCATCCGTGACTAACTGAACTCTTGTTAGTATATTGACAAATTCTGTTGGTTTGACCTCTTCTTTTCTTTTCTTTTCTTTTCTTTTTTTTTTTTTTTTTTTGAGACGGAGTTTCGCTCTTGTTACCCAGGCTGGAGTGCAATGGCGCGATCTCGGCTCACCGCAACCTCCGCCTCCTGGGTTCAGGCAATTCTCCTGCCTCAGCCTCCTGAGTAGCTGGGATTACAGGCACGCGCCATCATGCCGAGCTAATTTTTTGCATTTTTAGTAGAGATGGGGTTTCACCATGTTGACCAGGATGGTCTCTATCTCTTGACCTCGTGATCCACCCGCCTCGGCCTCCCAAAGTGCTGGGATTACAGGCGTGAGCCACCGCGCCCGGCGACCTCTTCTTTTCTACACTAAAATCTGATTCGTTTATTTCCATGCTTAAATTTTGTCCTGTTGCCCTTAGGATAATGTTCACTGTCCTTAATGTGATGGTTAAAGCTCTCTCCAGTCCAACGCTTGCCTTACCCTCCAACTATTAATATATCTCTTTCCTCTCAAAACTTCAGTCAACCACTCTGAACTTTCATTTCCTCCCCTATCATTTCTCTCCCCTTTGATCCTTGGCATGTGCTGTTCTCTTTGAATGCTATATCTGAACCTACACTGCTCCCCATAAATGTTTAGTTATTTCCTTTTCATCAGTGGTATTGGCTTATGTCTACCTCAGGAATGCATACTGACCCCTAAATTAGCCAAGCTGGTCCCACAGTTTCTACAGCACACAGCACTGGCTCTTTTGGAAGATTCCAAATACTCTGTTGTGATTACTTATATAATGTGTCTCTTCTAGGCTGGATGGTAATGTCCATGTACAAAGAGCTACTAATTATTTTTCAAATGAAGAAAAGGAAAGAAACCATACTTTCTGCAACCCAAAATTTGAATAATGATCTGACAAAGTATAGTTTATGTATCTATTATTGTGCTATGAAAAGGGGTCACAGACATGATGGGCAGCATATGGTGCAGATACAAACTGAAGGTTATTGGAGGGAAATTTCCAATACAATTCTGCAAATTCTTATTATCCCACATTTAGGGCAGACACAGATAGTGTGCACATCCCATGGCCAGCAGCCCAGTACTGAGATGCCCATTCCCATAATGCCCTACACATTACAGGGTTAGGGGGACTGGGAATGTCCATGCAACTATACAATTATGAACACTCCCTGGTCAGAGAAGTGATGTTGTTAGAAAGGGGAAACCTCTGGAGTCTGGGGCTCGTGTCAGACGGTCAGTTCTGTTGAGGTAGCTCTGACCTTCTGACACCTCTCTGCCAAGCTACCAAAAGGAGTGGATGCCAGTCCCTTCCATGTTTGTCTTTCTTCATATTGTGTTTAAATGAATTTTTTGAGAGTTTTTAAAGGAACCGTTTTATTTTAAATGTGACAGATGATATGCTTTAAATTTTCTTTTTTCCAATTTTCCAATTTTTTTATTGGGATAAAATACACATGACATAAAGTGTATCATCACAACCATTTTTAGGTGCATGGTTCAATGGTATTAAGATACATTCACAATGCTGTGCAATCATCGCCCATCCATCTCCAGGACTCTTTTTATCTTGTAAAACTGAAACTCTGTACTCATTAAACAACAACTCCCCATTCCTCCCTGCTTGCAGCCCAACAGAGATATTTTTAAGAGTCACATTATTTTACATTTAATTAATCATCTTTATTTTTTAAAAATACCGAAACACCTAAAAACATGTTTCAAAATTGAAGGAGAAAAAAAACAAGGCAAGTTTTAGGCACTATCAGGCTTCCCCACCTCTTCCGGATAAATTTTCAGTAACTTCCGTGTTTGAACTTCCTGCCAGCCTGGGTCTCACAGGGCTTCCGCTTCCACTGCCTCTTAAGGGTTCACCCATACCTTTTCCTGCGGAAGTGGCCTTCGGCTATCCCGGCACTTGCTTGCGGGAGGCGTGGCTGCACACTCTGTGTCCTTTCTAACCCGCGGAGAAACATTCTTGTTCAACAGGACAGTGGTCATCCTGTGGGATCAGCGTCTAAAGTTCACAGCCAGTGAAAATTGTGATCTCTTTCCCAGCAAAGTAAACTCACCTCTGTACCTCTGGCATTGTGCCTCCTCTGGCTCTCAGCCTCACCTTCCATCTCTCCCTCACAGTACCCACCTTCTTGGCAGGGTCCTTGCCTCTCAGATTTTTTAATACCTTGCACTTTGCTCACTAAAGGTATCTGGAAACTTTTGGGTGTTTGTGGTACTCCTGTACCACACACGGGCCCTGGAGGAACCTGGAGAGGTGCCTTATAGGACCCCTCCTTTCCACTTAGATGAGACTGTGTGGCCACCTTGTGGTACAGGGTGACACAAACCAAAATCAGGAAACTAGACCCACTGATCTAGAATTTCCCCAGATTTATCTAGTTGACTACAACAGGTCATACCAGGAGTGAGAGCAGATGGTAATCTGGGGAGACAAAGAAAGGTACACATAAGAAGAAGGATATAATTATAGAGAAATGGCAGGAGAAAAGTGAGGTACCGGGGTACAGAGATCTGAAAGGGTGGGAGTTAGAGGGAGGAGAAGGGAAGTCACTGATTGGGATGGTAGGAGGTTACTGAAGACCCCAATTTAAACTATTCACAAGTCATCATTTGGTCCAGGGACAGCCTCACCTAGACATGGAATCAAAAAGAAGCTCAAAGTGGTGGATCGGGTTCCTCAAAAGAAAGATGACTCAACTTGGAAGTCCACAGTAATGACAAGGGCCCAGAAGGCGAGAACTCAGCATGCCCCAAAGTCTAGATCAGAAGGTAAGGCTGATGATGGAATCTGCCATTTGAATGGCTCAATGTGGGAGGGTCTCTCCTGGAGCAGTACAGGGTTAAGTAGATATGTAAAGTCAATAGTAAAAGGAAAAAGTACAGAGAATGAGGATGGAATATGACAAAAGGGACAAAGAGAGCAAGCATCTATTGCATCTGAAAAGTTTTTGTGGAAGAAACAGACATGTTCACGGGGACAGCTATGGCCTGGGGCAGCAGCTCTCAAATTCTTCAGTCTCAGGACTCCTTTATGCTCTTAAAAATTATTGAGGACCCTAAAGAGCATTTTTGGTTGTTTTTTTTTTTTTTTGAGTTGGAGTTTCGCTCTTGTTACCCAGGCTGGAGTGCAATGGCGCGATCTCGGCTCACCGCAACCTCCGCCTCCTGGGTTCAGGTAATTCTCCTGCCTCAGCCTCCTGAGTAGCTGGGACTACAGGCACGCACCACCGTGCCCAGCTAATTTTTTGTATTTTTAGTAGAGACGGGGTTTCACCATGTTGACCAGGATGGTCTCGATCTCCTGACCTCGTGATCCACCCGCCTCGGCCTCCCAAAGTGCTGGGAGAGCTTTTTTTATGTTGTTTATGTCAATCTACGTGTACCTTATTAGAAATTAAAAATAAGAATTTAAAAATATTAATTCATTTAAAGTAGTAATAAACCAGTTTATTAACATAAATAACATTAGTTTATGAAAATAAATATATTTTCCAAAACAAAAAAAATTAGTGAAAAGAGTGACATCATTTTATGTTTGTGCAAATCTCTGATTTTGAGTGAGCTTTATAAAGAGACAACTGAATTCCTATAACTGTTTCTGCATTCAGTTGTGATACGTTGCTTTGACTGAAGAACAGAAAGAAAATTCAGCCCCACACAGGTACGTAGTTGGAAAGGGTGAAGGAATTTAACAGTCTTATGAGCTATCTGTGGAGATTCATCTCTAATACCACACCAGCACTCAACAAGTGATAGTTTCTTAAACACTAGTTGTAATGCAAAATTTGAAACCATGTCAATTAACTTCAGACTCTGTTACAATAAAATACATGAATCCGTCTTGCATTCTAAGTAGATCTTCTACAAATGCAAGATTTTATAATAGTACAGCTGTTTAGAAAATATGCATTTGGAATCACACCGTGAGCTCCTAACTCAGTCACACAAGTGTTTTCTTGCCACTGTGGTACTTCAGGATGCAACAGAAATGCTTTATATGTATCCTTCAGTTTTTCACATTGAATATTAAGATGAAAGATATGTACTCAAAGGTAGAAATGTCATAAAATCAGTAATTTTCACTGGCTCACCAAGAAGATTCTCAAGTGAATCTTGCTTTTGTTTTTATTTTTGGTACAGTGAGCAAGTGACAATGAAGAATGCAGTGATTCCTGCTGAGGTTTGGGGACACTGCTTTGATGCGTCCTAAGGTACCAGCAGTTTTACCTGCCATTGCTCTTGCTCAACCTGTACAAAGGTTGAAATCATGAAAAAGGCAAATAACATCTTATTATTAAGATAATTTTGACCTTGCAAATTTTCTGAAAAGGTGTGAGGGACCCCCTAGGGGCTCACAGACCTTACTTTGAGAGACTCTGGCCAAGTTCAGATGGCTGCACCCCACTATGGATGTCTCCACTGGTAGAGAAACCACTGCTAACCAACTGTGGTCTGCTCCTCCCACGTGGCAGACAGGCACAGTGTCAGGAGCAGCACCAAACCTCTTGGTAGATGCATTCTTAGGAGGGCAGACCTGGACCCTCCAGGCCCCAGCTTTAGAGTGTGCAAGGGCCTTCCTGGGTCTCTGGGAGATTCCCCATGAAGCTTCCCAAGGAGTATTTACTAAGATTTTCTTTTTCTAGAGATCAGTGATGGCACTTCAAAATTGAATGAAGGAAAGAGATACCAAGAGACGCCTAGCACACCATCAAGGGTCAAGCAAGGTAAAACTTGGAGATCGCTAATTTCAGAGTGCAGTCACCAGTTAATATTTCTTAACTTTTTTTTTTAATTATCACTGTGCTAGAGAGTCCTTCTAGATATTTTTTCTTAATCAAGACCCTTCCCGTGGTATTTTAATACCACAAATATACGTCCATTTTGTGTAATATATACGTGTGTATGTGTGTATATCTGCACTTTATGAGATTTTTCTCGGCACTCAAGAACGAGTTTTTGCACTGTTGGTGGCAGTATCACCGCTACTGAGAATGAGTATCCTAAGTATATTCGTGGCGCTGTACTGAAAGTACAGATTGTCCAAAGTCCAACCTACAGATCAAGCTTTTTCCTAGAATTTCAATCTCCATATTTCTCATGTGGCCTTTCTGCAAAAACTGAGAAGAGGAAAACTCAATACAAACACACATGTAACACTATGACTGAGCATGTACGACTGGTGGTGTTGTGGGCACATGCTGGTAAAACTGTGCATGTTAATTCTTCCCTCACCATCAGTACCATTATTCACATTTCTGGCGTAAGTTGATACCACTATCCTTAGCAGGGATGATGATATATGGTCATTGTCCAAAAAAATCAGAGAACGCACACATGATAAATGTGATTTTCAAACAACAAATATCTACTTATCGTCAGGAAAAATTGATTACATTTTATTCTTTAAAATCTACATTATCACTTTTAACAGTTTCTCCTTTATTGTACCGGCTTGTAGAGTAGTATTTCAACTTCTCTCATGGATAGTTTGACTTTATTCTCACAACTGCCCTTGGAGAAGGTTGAATGACTTATTCCAATTTAACAGATGAGGATATTGAGACATGGAAAGGATTAATGAGTTTTTTTCAAGATCCCTTGGGTAAAGGCTGCCACAGGATTAACACCCTGGTCCCAGGAACTCTTTTCAGGAGCCATCATTCTCCAGAGAAAGGAAGGGGCAGAAAGAATACTGTCAAACCTTTGTCAATTCACTATTTCCCAAATATAAAACTGCTTATTCAAAAATTACTTTCTCATTACTTCCAAGATCCTGTGGATAATAGAAATAAACTCTCTTTGGGAAAATCTCCCAGAGCAGAAAATAAGTATAAAGAAGAAACTATTTGGTCTCTGTGGCGTGGGTTGATGTTACTTTGACTGTTGTTATGCCATTCTAGGCTACAAAAGACACGCAAACCAGAAAAAGCCTTACGTTTTTTAAAATAATGACTTAACTATTTTTCAACCCAGAAAAGTTTCTGGAATTTTCTAAAAGTAGTGTGCTGTAACCATTAGGATTATGTTGCTGTCCCAGCATGGTGGCTTACACCTATGATCCCAGCACTTTGGGAGACCAAGGTGGGTGGATCACTTGAGACCAGGAGCTTGAGACCAGTGTGGCCAGCATGATGAAACCCTATCTCTACTAAAAATACAAAAACTAGCTGGGCTTGATGGCGACGCCTGTTATCCCAGCTACATGGGAGGCTGAGGAAAGAGAATTGCTTGAACCCAGGAGACAGAGTTTGCAATTAGCCAAGATCATACCACTACACTGCAACCTGGATAACAGAGTGAGACTCTGTCTCAAAAGAACACACACACACACACACACACACACACACACACATACACACACACACAGGATTATGTTGCTGTATGTGACAGCAAACCCCACCCCACTAAAAAAATAATAAGAATAGTAGCTATTATTTTGTGTGCAGAGGCGGGCGGCCAAGAGCTGGTGCCATACACTGGAGGGTTCTGGGCTACCTCTTGCTCGTTGCTCCACCATCCTCAGCGTGCGGCATCCCCTTCACTGAGGTCCAGCCAGCCAGTCTATGTTCCAGCTAATGGGAAAATGACAAAGCCAGAGAAGGGCACACCTCCTCCATTGAAGGACCCTAAATGCAGGTTGCAGAGAGTAATTTTCTATCATTAATGATTTTATATTGGTAGACTGAGGCTGGTAGATCACTTCAGGTTGGGAGTTCAAGACCAGCCTGGCCAACATGGTGAAACCCATCTCTACTAAAAATGCAAAACAATTAGCTGGGCCTGATGGTGTGCACCTGTAGTTTCAGCTACTCAGGAGACTGAGGCTGCACCTGTAGTTTCAGCTACTCAGGAGGCTGAGGCAAGAGAATTGCTTGAACCTGGGAGGCAGAGGTCGCAGTGGGCCAAGATCACACCACTGCACTCCAGCCTAGGCCACAGAGGGAGACTCCATCTTAGAAAAAATAAAAAAATGCTATCATTTTATCGCCAGGACTGGTTGCATGGCCACACCTGACTTCGAAGGTGGCTGGGAACTGTAATCTTTAATCCATAAGAATAAGGGGCTCAGAATTGGGGTTTTATTACTAAGGAAATAGGGAGGCCAGAGAAAGGGGAAAAACTAGCAGTGCTCACGCTGCACATGTTTATGGGGGCATTATGACTGCTTTCCTCTATTTCTGCTTCTTCTCCCCTTCCCAGACACGGGCAAAGCTCCATTATCATCCCCCTTGCAGGAGGCAGCTCCATTATACGAGCTCTAGCAAATAAGCCAGAGAGACGGTGTCACTTCTGGGTCACAGCACATGAGAGCCCTTTGAAGCTCTCTGTATTCTTTTCCTGCCTGTGGAAATGTGTGGAAGAGGGAGACACCAAAAGGCCAAAGCAGCATGACCTACCACATAGGGGACAACGCCCCCTTGGAGGGCCCTAAGGAGGACAACAGAGGACTTTCAGTCCTACAGAGGGTCCTGTTGTCCTACAGAGAATTTCGTGTAATAGAGAAATACACTATTCTATGTTAAGCCAGCAAAATTTGGTTTCAGTTGTTACTGTAGCACATCCTACCCTGTCCTGTATGACACAACATCCCTAATAAAATCTTCAGTGTAGAAAATTGTAAATCAGGCCAGGCAAGGTGGCTCACACCCCTAATCGCAACACTTTTGGAGGCCAATGTGGGAGAATTGCTTGAGCCAAGGAATTTGAAACCAGCCTGACAACAAAGTGAGACCCTATCTCAAAACAGAGAAAAAAAAAATTATAAATCACAAAGGTAAACATCTATTTAATCTGTTTCCCCCACCTTATTTTTATACCTTATAAGTATGCATACCTTTTTGTTTTTACATATAAGCTGATACTGTATGGTCTCGTCTATAAATCACTTTTTTCATTGTGTATTTAATATGCATATCTCTGTATCAGTGTTATCTACTTTTTAAACTACGTGACACATTACTGTATGATTCACCACAATTTGTTTAAATAATCACCTACTAATGGACAGTTTTTTTAAATTCTACTTTAAGTTCTGGGATATATGCGCAGAAAGTGCAGGTTTGTTACGTAGGTGTACACATGCCGTGGTGGTTTGCTGCGCCCATCAACCTGTCATCTACATTAGGTATTTCTCCTAATGTTATCCCTCCCCTAGCCGTATTTCTTATTTTTATATGAAAATAGAAATTAGGTTTGTGTTTGTATCTCTGCACACTTATCCAATAATTTCCTTAAAATTGATTCCTAAACACAAGCTTATTAGGTTAGAATCTAAGTCTTAATTATACATGTTACCGATTTGCTGGCCAGAAAACCCAACGATTTATGTTCCCTTTAACAATATATGAGTATTCATTTCCTACATCCTCAACACTGGATGTGATAAGACTGTTTAATGTTTAGGTATCCTTAACATCCCAGCAGTAAGTTTCTTTGATTATTAGTAATATACAGATGATTTCTAAATAAATTTGTCAAATTCATTTCCTCCTTGGGCATTTTTAACTTATGTTGTTCGTTTATTTTCCAAGAGTACCTTCATCTTTTCCTTTATCTAATACAGATGTTAACCTTCTATATGTTTGTATGTTTACATTTTGTTTTTGCTTTAATATTGTTGGGGTATTTTTTGAAGTGTAAACATTTTTTTTCAACCCTCCTCCTTCTGTACATTTTTAATTTTTTAAACATTCAAATCTGTTCATCTCTTAACTGCATAATTTCTGGCCTTGACTTTTGGCTAGGAAACCTTTTCATATCCATGGCTTATAACAGTCTTTCTCTAGTCTTGAAAAACTGCTTATTAATTTTTAAATGGGGGCCGGGCACGGTGGCTCATGCCTGTAATCCCAGCACTTTGGGAGGCCATGAAAGGAGGATCACTTGAGGTCAGGAGTTCGAGACCAGTCTGGCCAACATAGTGAAACCCCATCTCTACTAAAAATACAAAAATTACCCAGGCATGGTGGTGTATACCTGTTATCCCAGCTACTCAGGGGGCTGAGGTACAAGAATCACTTGAACCCAGGAGGTGGAGATTGCAGTGAACTGAGATCATGCCACTGAACTCCAGCCTGTGCAACAGAGCAAGACTCTGCCCCCCCTAAAAAATAATAAATTTAAATGACATATTTAATTTAATTTTATTTTATTTTATTTTATTTTATTTTATTTTATTTTATTTTATTTTATTTTGAGACGGAATTTCGCTTGTTACCCAGGCTGGAGTGCAATGGCGTGATCTCGGCTCATCGCAACCTCCACCTCCTGGGTTCAGGCAATTCTCCTGCCTCAGCCTCCTGAGTAGCTGGGATTACAGGCAGACATATTTTAAATGTTAGTTCTCTAATATATTCCTGTTTCATCTTTATTCAATCCTAAAATTCAACTTCCAGGTAAAATGCGGTACTTTTTTCACATAGGTCACATAGTTTTCTTGCCTTCTCAAAGTGAGGGAAAAACAGGAAAAAATTTACTTAAAAAAGTATTGACATTGCAAGCTTGTAGATCAATATTTGTATTCATAAAAGATATGTTTCTTTTTTCTGTTTTAGAAAAGAGGAGAAAAGAATATGGCCTGTCAAGTTCAAAAAGAAAGCAGAATAAAAAACTCCCAAGAGGTAAGCAAGAAAAATAAAGTGGCTTCTCCCTTGGTGTTTATCAGGGCCCTCACTTGACCAGCAGCCATGACCTCCTCTCCAACCACATGGCCACTCACTTATGCCTGGAGCATAGCCAGCCCAACCTCGCCCTCTGGGCCACCCCATTAATAGACTCCTCCACAAAGGAAGAGAGAACCTAACACCAATTGGGTTCATACCTAGCCTTCTTCCCTATTGTCATAGGGAAGGAATGAGGTTGAGGTGGACACGAGGCATCAATTTTGAGATTAGGATTGTTTCCTGTCTAGGGTCAGAGCCCAGAATAGACTCAAGAAACCTAAATCCCCAAGCAGGATCAAACTTTCAGTTCCCAACTGGGATTAGATTTGGAGTCATAGAGTGTTCAGAACTACCTCAGTCAACCCATGCTTGCTTATGTGCCTGCATGCATGTGTCTGCTCCAGTGCACAAACTGTGTTACTTGCATAATAGGAAACAAAAAAGCTGCATTTTTCTGGTCCCTCTGCTTCATCCCACTTTTCTTTTTCTCCTCTGTATTCTCTCTCTTCCCTTTATGTTTCTTGCTTTTTCCCTTTTCCCTTTTTTTTCATTTATTTTTTAAATTTTTTGTAGAGACCAGGTCTTGCTATGTTGCCCAGGCTGGTCTTGAAATCGTGACCTCAAGTAATCCTCTTGCCTCAGCCTCCCAAAGTGCTGGGATACAGGTGTGAGCCACTGCACCTGGCCCCTTTTTATTTATTCTTTTACTCAAAATGATTTACCAAGGGCCTAAGATTCGCCAGTCAGTGGAGATCCTCTTGGATTTTGTGCCCTTACAGAAGCCAACCTGGGAAGGGATCTCATCCCAGCTCCCAAACATGAATTAGGACATGAGGCTCACTGCTTTGGAAATCCCTCCAATTTTTCTGCTTGTTCCAGCATCCCTCATTCTAGGGGTTTGGCCTGGAATGGAAGTCATATCTGCATGCTTGCTCTTCTCCTTCCTGGTCTCTTCTTCCTGGTTCCCCACCCCACTGCCTCCCTAGGCTGGAGAAAACATACTCTTTGTCATTTGCTGAGTGTTCACTACTTATGACTTATAGAAGAACTTGACATTCAGACCTTCAAGCTTTCCTTTTGATATGTACAGATAATTTTTGGAATTTACGAATTTCTCTTTACTCTCAACAAATATGATGCTTCAAGATTTTGTCTCAGCTTGCCAAAATGGCCTCAACTGAGCAGTGGCTTTTCAGTTCTAGCCAGCATCTGCCCTTTCCCTGAAACCTATTGATGTAATAGGGAAATCTTCACTATTTGCAAGGATGAAAAATACATACTTCCTCAGCAGAAACCTTACAAGCTAGAAGGGATTGGAGTCTTATCATTAGCTTCCTTAAACAGAATAACTCTCAGCCAAGAATTTTGTATCTGGCAAAACTAAGTTTCATGAAAGAAGGAGAAATAAAGCCATTTTCAGACAAACAAATGCTGAGGGAATTTGTCACTACCAGACCAGCTTTATAGGAAATGCCAAAAGAAGTTCTAAATCTTGAAATAAAAGGTTGATATGCACCAGAATAGAAACTCTTGAAAGCATAAATCTCACAAGGTCTATAAAACAATAACACAAGGAAGAAAACAAAGTAGGTAACAATTAACATGATGACTGGAACAATATCTCACATCTTGATATTAATGTTCAACATAAATGGGCCTAATGATCCACTTTAAAGATAGATTGGCAGAATGGGATACAGTTACAAACCAAGTATCTGCTGTCTTCAAGAGACTCACTTAACACATAAGGACTTATATAAACTCAAGGTATAAGGGTGGAAAAAGATATTCCATGCAAATGGAAACCAAAAGCAAACATGAGTAGCTTTTCTCATATCAGATAAAATAGACTTTAAAGCAACAACAGTTAAAACAAAAACAAAGACAAAGAAGATCATTATATAATGATAAAAGGATCAATCCAACAGGAAGATACTACAAGCCTAAATTTATATGTAGCTAACACTGGAGCTCCCAGATTCTTAAGATATTTACTACTAAACCTAAAGAAAAGAGATAGAAAACAGCACAATAATCGTGGGGACCTTCAGTATTCCACTGTCAGCACTAGACAGATCATTGAGACAGAAAGTCAACAAAGAAACAATAGATGTAAACTTCGCTCTAGAACAAATGGATCTAATAGATATTTACATAAGATTACATTCTTCTCATCAGCACATGGAACATTCTCCAAGACAGACCATATGATAGGCCACAAAACAAGTCCCAATAAAATTTTAGAAATTGAAATTATAGTTTGATGGGAATAGCATTGAATCTATGAATTACTTTGGGCAGTATAGCCATTTTCATTATATTGATTCTTCCTATCCATGAAGGTGGAATGTTTTTCCATTTGTTTGTGTCCTCTGTTATATCCTTGAGCAGTGATTTGTAGTTCTCCTTGAAGAGGTCATTCACATCCTCTGTTAGCTGTATTCCTAGGTATTTTATTCTCTTTGTAGTACTTGTGAATGGAGTTCACCATGATTTGGCTCTCGGCTTACCTATTGTTGGTGTAAAAGAATGACTGTGATTTTTGCACATTGATTTTGTATCCTGAGACTTTGCTAAAGTTGATTATCAGTTCAAGAAGTTTTTGGACTGAGATTATGAGGTTTTCTAAATATATAATTATTTCATCTACAAACAGAGACAACATGACTTCCTCACTTCCTATTCAAATACTCTTTATTTCTTTCTCTTGCCTGATTGCCCTAGCCAGAACTTCTAATACTATGTTGAAGAGGAGTCATGAGAGAGGGCATCCTTGTCTTGTACCAGTTTTCAAAAGGGATGCTTCCAGCTTTTGCCCATTCAGTATGATATTGGCTGTGAGTTTGTCATAAATAGCTGTTATTATTTTGAGATATGTTCTATCAGTACCTAGTTTACTGAGTTTTTAACATGAAGGGATGTTGAATTTTATCAAAAGCTTTTTCCGCATCTATCAAGATAATCATGTAGTTTTTGTCTTTGGCTCTGTCTATGTGATGGATTACTCTTATTAATTTGCATGTGTTGAATGAGCCTTGCATCCCAAAGATGAAACTGATGTGATCATGGTGGATAAGTTTTTTGATGTTCTGCTGGATTTGGTTTGCCAGTATTTTATTGAGGATTTTCGTATCGATGTTCATTGGGGATATTGGCCTAAAATTTTCTTTTTTTGTGTGTCTCTTCCCAGTTTTGGCATCAGGATGATGCTGGCTTCATAAAATGAGTTAAGGAGGAGTCCCTCTTTTTCAATTATTTGGAATAGCTTCAGAAGGAATGGTACCAGCTCCTCTTTGAATTTCTGATAAAATTCAGCTGTGAATCCATATGGTCCTGGGCTTTTTTTGGTTGGTAGACTGTTAATTACTGCCTCAATTTCAGAGCGTGTTATCTCTATTCAGGAATTCAACTTCTTCCTGGTTTAGTCTTGATAGGATGTATGTGTTCAGGAATTTATCCATTTCTTCTAGATTTTCTAGTTTATTTGTGTAGAGGTGTTTATAGGTTCTCTGATGGTAGTTCGTATTTCTGTGGGATCATTGATGATATCCCCTTTATTATTTTTATTGTGTCTATTTCATTCTTCTCTCTCTTCTTCTTTATTAATCTGGCTAGAGGTCTATGTTGTTAATTTTTTTTTTTAATTCCTAGATTCATTGATTTTTGGAGTGTTTTTTGTGTCTCTATCTCCTTCAAGTCTTCTCTTGTCTTACTTATTTCCTGGAAACATACATCCCTCCTGGATTGAATGAGGAATAAATAGGAACCATAAACAGACCAGTAACAAGCAGTGAAATTGAATCAGCAATTTTTTAAATGCCAACAAAAAAAGCCCAGAGCTAGATGCATTCACAGCTGAATTCTACCAGACATTCAAAGAAGAATTGGTGCCAATACTACTGAAAGTATTCCAAAAGATTAAGAGGGAATCTTCTCAAAGTCATTCTGTGACTCCACTATCACCCTGCTGTCAAAACCAGGAAAGTACATGACAAAGAAACAACAGACCAGATGAACATAGATGCAAAAATCCTCAACAAAACGCTGGCTAACTTAACCCAGCAGCCCATCAAAAATATAATACACCATGATCAAGTGGATTTAATTCCAGGGATTTAGGAATGATTTAACACATGCAAGTCAATATATATGGTACATCACAAAAACAGAGTTAAAAACCATAGATCGTTTCAATAGATGCAGAAAAAGCATTTGATAAAATCCAGCATCCCTTTAAATAAAGATCCTCAACAAACTAGGCATAGAAGGGGCTTACCTCAAAGTTATAAAAAGCCATATATGACAAACCCACAGCCAACATTATAATAAATGGGTAAAGTCTAACACATTCCCCCTGAGAACTGAAACAAGACAAGGATGCCCACTTTCACCACTTCTATTCAGCATAGTACTAGATATCCTAGCCAGAACAATCAGACAAGAGAAAGAAATAAATGACACCTAAATTGGAAAAGAAGTCAAAGTATCACTGTTCACTGACAATATGATCATATATCTAGAAAACCCTAAATACTCCTTCAGAAGACTACTAGATTTGATAAATGAATTCAGTACAGTCTCAGGTTGCAAAATCAAATGTACGCAAATTAGCAGCGCTATACACCAACAGTGACCAAGCTGAGAATCAACTCAAGAATTCAATCCCTTTTACAACAACTTTAACAAAATAAAATAAAATACCTAGGAATATACTTATCCAAGGAGATGAAAGATCTCTACAGGGAGAGCTACAAAACACTGCTGAAATAAATTATAGATGACACAAACGTGGAAACACATCCCATGCTTATGGATTGGAAGAATCAACATGAAAATGATCACACCACCCAAGGCAATCTACAGACTGAATGCAATTCTTATCAAAATACCAACATCATTTTTCACAGAATTAGAAAAAAAACAGTCTTAAAATTTGTATGGAACTAAAAAAGAGCCTGCATAGCCAAAGCAATCCTAAGCAAAAAGAGCAAATCTGGAGGCATTACCAGACTTAAAATGATACTACAAGGCTACAGTTACCAAAATGGCATGATACTGTTATGAAAGTAGATACATAGACCGATGGAACAGAACTCAGTAATAAAGCCACATACTTACAACCAACTGATCTTCAACAAAGCGTGCAAAAACATACATTGGGGAAATGCCACCCTATTCAATAAACGGTGCTGGGAAAACTGGCTAGCTACATGTAGAAGAATAAAACTGGATCCCTTTTTCTCACCTTATATAAAAATCGTCTCAAGATGGATCAAAAATTTAAACTTAAGACCTGAAACCAGAAAAATTCTACAAGAAAACCTAGGAAAAATTATTCTGGACATTGGCCTAGGCAAAGATTTTGTGACTGAGACCCCAAAATCAAATGCAAGAAAAACAAAAATAAATAAATAGAACTTAATTAAACTGAAAAGCTTCTTTGTAGCAAAGAAAATAATCATCAAAGTAAACAGACAACCCACAGAATGGGAGAAAATATTTACAAATTATGTATCCAACAAAGAACTAAAATCCAGAATATACAAGAAACTCAAACATTACAGAAAAACAAACATCAAAAAGTGGACGAATGACATAAATAGACATATTTCAAAAGCAGGTATACAAGTGGCCAACAGACATCTGAAAAAATGCTCAACGTCACTAATTATCAGGGAAATGCAAAGTAAAACCACAATGAGATACCACCTTACTCCTATAAAAATGGCCATTATTTAAAAGTCAAAAAAAAAATAGACGTTGACATGGATGTGGTGAAAAAAGAATGTTTCTACATGGGTGGTGGGAGTGCAAATTAGTACAACCTCTATGGAAAACAGTATGGAGATTTCTTAAAGAACTAAAAGTAGATCTGCCATTCAATCCAGTACGAGGTATCAACCCAAAGGAAAAGAAATAATTATATAACAGAGATACCTGTACACATATGTTTATTGCTACATAATTTACAATTGTAGAGATACGGAACTAACCTTAGTGCCCACTGGCCAATGAATGTGTAAAGAAAATGTAGTATGTATACACCATGGCATACTACTCAGCCATAAAAAAGAGTGAAATAATGTCTTTTGCAGCAACTTAGATGGAGCTGGAGGCCATTATTCTAAGTGATGTAATGGAATGGAAAACCAAATACTGTATGTTCTCACTTATAAGTCGGAGCTAAGATATTAGTACTAGAAGCCATACAGTACTAAGATATATAATACTCGAAGTGATGTAATGGATTATGGAGACTCAGGAGGAAGGGAAGAGGAAGGATTTTAAAAATGATATATTGGGTACAATGTACACTACTCAGATGAAGACCGCACTGAAGCCTCAGACTTTGCCACTGTAGAATTCATCCATGTAACCAAAAACTAATTGTATCCCAAAAGCTGTTGAAATAAAAAAATTTAAAAAGAAAAATACATTTAATATTTTCAAAAATGTAGTGCCCACTATACATTCATTCAGCAAGGATAGACAGTGTAAGAGTGGGCCAGGTATCTGTCCTAGGTCCTGTCAGCAGTGAGCAAGACAGACACAAATCCCTACACCAGTGGAGCTTGCATTCTAATTGATACACCTTTAATTAATAGACAAAATGAGGACTTGAAAAAGAGAAATAGGAAGTATTGTGAGTCTGGGGGAGAAGATACATACAAGAAAAGCGAAAATTGTAGAGAAATGGCAAGATAACTCCTGAAATGGTATAGTCTGGGAACATGAAAAGGGAGCTCACTCAACTATTCACAAGTCACTATTTGGTGCAGGGGCAACTTCGCCTGGGCATGACATCCAAGAGAAGCTCCAAGTGGTAGATAAGGTGACTCAAAGGAAAGATGACTCAACCTGGAGCTCAAAAGTCATGACGAGGGTCCAAAAGGCAAGAATTGAATGTACCCAGAAGTCCAGATTGGAAGGTAAGGCTAATGATGGAATCTGCTATTTGAATAACTCAATGTGGGAGGATCTCTTGGAGCATGTACAGGGCCAGATAGAGATGTAAAGTCAATAGCAGAAGGAGTGAGACGTACAGACAAGAGGGACGTGAAGACAGAGCACGGATCTGTTGCCGTGACAGTGGCTGTTGGAAGAAATGTTCGTGGAGTGCATTCTGCCTTGACTCTGCCATGTGGATTTACATGACCACTCCTCACAGTGTGTGCTGTTTTTATTTCTATTATTAGAGTCATCACAACTCTCTTGAGTTTGGGAGACTCCTTTCTGATTCTGGCCAACCCAGTCTTGGAAGTGGCACCAATCCTCAAAGTGGACACATTTGCAGGATTCTTTTTTAATGGTTCATTTCTAGAACTGAAGTTGCTTGGTCATTGGCATATTTAAATTAGCACATGTTTGTTGTCAAATTGCCTAAATTATCTGTTTATACTCCCATTAACATGATATAGTACACCCTTTCCCTCCACCTTCACCAACACTAGAAATAACAAGATATTTCTATGATGACTGACAAAGGTGAAGAGTGATATTTCACTGCTGTTTCCCTTTGAATTTCTTTGCACTAGGCAGGTGATCAAAAGCTGTGGTAGGTTGTATTACGGTTCTACAGTGTTCAGGACCCCACCTCCTCAGAAGTTCACAGCCCTGCCCTGTGGACTCAGGAATGCCAGTGTGATAACTTAGCCAAAGAAATGCGGACTGAAGTTAGAGAACCACTTTCACGCCAAGGCTTTCAGAGTTTATTTGTCTTCTTTTTCTCTGCCCAAGACCAGGGATGATCTAGACAGAGGCTGCTCTCTCTCCAGGAGCCATGAGGGTCAGTGATGTAGGGCTGAGCCTCATCTAATTTATGATGAAACAACAGCATGAGAGAGAAGTAAATTTTTGTTGTTGTAAATCAGAGCTTGGCAAACTTTTTCCAAAAAGGACCAGAAGATGCAGCTACTCAATTCTGCCTTTGTACCATGACAGCAGCCAGGGGCAAATACGTAAACAAATAGACATGGCTGTATTCCAATAAAACTTTATTTATATAAGCAGGCAGTAGACCAATTTAGGCCTTAGACCATAGTTTGGTTTGATTTGGTTTGTTTGTTTTTGAGACGGAGTCTCGCTCTGTCTCCCAGGCTGGAGTGCAGTGGCGCAATCTCGACTCACTGCAACCTCCACCTCCCAGGTTCAAGTAGTTCCCTGCCTCAGCCTCCCTAGTAGCTGGGATTACAGACACCTACCACCACACCCAACTAATGTTTTATATTTCTAGTAGAGATGGGGTTTCACCATCTTGCCCAAGCTGGTCTTGAACTCCTGACTTCGTGATCCACTCACCTCAACCTCCCAAAGTGCTGGGATTATAAGCATGAGCCATTGCACCAGCCAACCATAGTCTGCTGACACCTGTAATAAACCACTGAGATTTGGGAAGATCATGAATTACCACAGCATTACCTAGCCTATCTTTACCAATTTCTCTGTTTTTTTTTTTTTTATTGATATTGGAATTTTTTTCTTTCAAGGGCCACCTGTTTGAATTTCCCCTTTTTGTATAGGACTAGTCATTTTTTGTTTAATCAGTTAGGGTAATTAACCCTTTGCTATAATGATTGCAGTGTTTCTTATTTTGGTTCTGTCTTTGAACTTAAGAGGCTTTTGGTTGTGGAACCATTTTCTTATTTAGATAGACAAATCAGTTTACCTGTAGCAGCATGGTGTATGCCAGAGTATCTCAATTTTGGCATTGTTGACATTTTGGACCGAATCATTGTTTGCTTCGGAGGCTGTCCTGTGTGTCATGGGATGTTTGGCCTCATCCCTGGCCTCTGCCCATTAGATGCCAGTGGCATCTGCTTCCCAGTCCTGACAAACAAAAAGATTTCCAAACATTGCGAGATATCCCCTGAGAGCAGAATCACCCAGTGTTAACCACTGCTCTATGCCTGTTACTTCCTCCTTAAAAAGCCCTGCCTATGTGATATTTATTTATTGATTGAATGATTGATTAAGAGTCTCGCTCTGTCACCCAGGCTAGAGTGCAGTGGTACCATTTCGGCTAACTGCAACCTCTGCCTCCTGGGTTCAAGCAATTCTCCTGCCTCGGCCTCCTGAGTAGCTGGGCTACTGGTGTGCCACCACACCTGGCTAATTTTTTATTCTTAGTAGAGATGGGGTTTCACCATTTTGGCCAGGCTGGTCTCGAACTCCTGACCTCAGATGATTTGCCCATCTCGGCCTTCCAAAGTGCTGGGATTACAGGCGTGAGCCACCATGCCTGGCCCCTATGTGATATTTATAAGGCCATACAGTAGCCTACACTTATGAGTGGTTTTGTGTTCCATAATTTCAGTTACCTGAAGTCAACTGCAGTTTGAAAATATTAAATGGAAAGTTCCAGAAATAAACAATTTATAAACTAAAAATTGTGCATTGCTCTGGGTAGCATACAAAGTTTAGCACCATCTTGCTGTATCCCACTCGGGGATGTGAATCATCCCTTTGTCCAGTGTTTCCTACTGTATACGCAGCCCACCCATTAGTCATTTAGTAGCTGTCTTGGTTATTGGACTAAAGAAACATAGTGTCTGCAGGACTGGGCACAACCCGTGGTTTCAGGCATCCACTGGAGGGGGCCTCCTATATATCCCTTCATTCTAGTACTTGCAGTAAATGTATGAACATATATTGATTAGTGGAAACTTGGCTTCTGTAATATTTTTAGCTTTTCTGCCTATTAACATGAGCTTGCTGTATTTCCTCAGTCAATGCCACAAGGAAGTCATTTCAAAACAACTCATATGTAACTTGTCTCTCCAAACTGGTAGAAAAAAACAGAAAAAAGTACTTTAAAATTGTTAACATATGGGGCTTATTAATCTATGTTTATAGCTATAAGTGATTCTTCTGTTTTTAGAAAAGAAAAGGGGAAAAGATATCTGTTCAAGTTCAGAAAGGAGATTTCAGAAAAACATTCACCAAAGAAGTAAGCAAGCAAGCCGCAACGCCTCCCCCTTGGGCTCCCCAGAGCCTTGGCCGCTGCTGAAGGCTCCACCCACCTTCCCCTTCTCCACCCTCCTTTCTTCCACTGTCCTTGTCCTTCTCCTCCGAGGTTGTTCTCCACCCTCATGGGTACCAGCTGAATTTGGGCGCATCAGGAGTGCTGCCAGCCTAGCCCACCACCTTGTGCCTGGTGGCTATTTCCATACTTGGAAGGATTCTTTAACACAGAGCTATACAAAGACCCAAAAATGATTAAGGATGATCGCTAAACCCACAAGTCAAGTTCTAAAATAAACTTCTGCATCCTCCATTCTAGAAATTAAAAGAAGCCCTTATCCAAGCACAGCCTGACAGTGTTCTCTTTCCTTTGCCTGCGTTGGTTGGGAATCTGGGCTTGCTTCAGCCTCTCTGCACCCTCAGGCCTCTTTGCATCTCTGTGCTCTCCCTCCTGCTCCTCTTCTTGCATTCATTTTTCTTCTGCTTTGATACCTCACTTCTTCAGCAGCATTTCTTGTCACCCTCTCTCCCTTTGCAGCCACATCGGCCCGTTTTATTCATTATTGAAGTATAATAAGTGCTATCCAAGGTGGGGTCCCCAGACTGGTACCTTGTACAAGCCTGTTGGTCGCAGGTCTACAGGAATAAGGAACGTGTAAACCAACTATGATGCTAAGCACACTGTTTTCATAGCAAGACTCCTCAGTGGAGACAGCAGTGCCTTGATTCTGATGAAGCCCCTGTCACATCGTAGGTTGGAGCATTGAGTAGCACTGGTGTATGTGCTTGCAGAAAATGCATGGATCCTAAGAGTACAGCTTGGTGGTTCACACACACCCAGAAAAAGTACCCACATACCCAGCACCCAGCTCAAGACACAGGATGTCACCAACACCCATCAACCACCCCCTACCCACGTCCCTAAGGTTACACCAGCCTGATTCCTCCACGCATAGGTCATCAGACACTGAATGTTCCTCCCTCATTCCTGCTCAGGACCTCCTCACATAGGCCTTCCCACTCACCCACCCCACCCCAAAGCTAATCCCCTTATCTTCTCCCTCTCTTTGCTATATACCCTCATATCTGACCTTTAAAAAAATTATTTTAAGTTCCAGGATACATGTGCAGGATGTGCAGATTGTTACACAGGTAAATGTGTGCCATGGTGATTTGCTGCACCTCTCAGCCAGTCCCGTAGGTATTAAGCCCAGCATGCATTAGCTATTTATCCTGGTGCTCTCCCTCCTGCTCCTCCAACAGCCCCCAGTGTGTGCTGTTCCCCTCCCTGTGTCCATGTGTTCTCATTGTTTAACTCCCACCTATAAGTGAGAACATGCAGTGTGTAGTTTTCTGTTCCTGCATTAGTTTGCTGAGGATAATGGCTTCCAGCTCTATCTATGCCCCTGCAAAGGACATGACTTTGTTCCTTTTTATGGCTGCATAGTATTCCATGGTGTACATGTACCACATATTCTTTATCTAGTCTATAATTAATGGATATTTAGGTTGAGTCCATGTCTTTGCTATTGTGAATAGTGCTGCAGTGAACATACACATGCATGTATCTTTATAATAGAATGATTTCTATTCCTTTGGGTATATGCCCGATAATGGGATTGCTTGCTGGGCCAAATGGTATTTCTGTTTCTAGGTCTTTGAGGAATTGCTACAAGGTCTTTCACAATGGTGGAGCTAACTTACATTCCCACGAACAGTATAGAAGCACAGCCTCGTCAGCATTTGTTGTTCCTTAACTTTTTAATAATGGCTGTTCTGACTGGCAAGAGTTGGCATCTCATTGTGGTTTTGATTTGAATTTCTCTAATGCTCTGTGGAGCTTTTTCATGTGTTTGTCAGCCACATAAACGTCTTCTTTTGAGAAGTGTCTGTTCATGTCCTTTGCCCACTTTTTAAAGGGGTGGGGTTTTTTTTGTAAATTTGTTTAAGTTCCTTGTTTATTCTGGATAATAGATCTCTGCCCTCAGACTTCACCTTAAATGTCACTTTCACAGGGAAGCATCCTCTGTCCCACAGGTGGGGGTAGGTCTCCCTACATGCCCTTGTGGAGACCTGCATTTTGTCTTCATGGTGCTTATCTCAACCGTAATAAATGATCTGTGCACAGCCTGTTCACTGCATGAAAGTCACATGAGGTCAGTAAGTGGATGGGTCTTGCCCATTGCTGTATGTCCAGCTCCCATGCCTCACACAGTTGTACTTCTTCACCAAGCATGAATACCAGTACCTGGACCCATCTGATTCATGCTGGGTTAGAAAAAGGTGCCCCTTCCTCAATTCACTGCCTCATCTGTCAGAGCCAATTCTTGAAAACAAACCCTTCTCTGCCCTCTGCTGGAAGATTGTTGTACTAAGCATGTAACCTGATTTTGTTTCTAATATGAATCAAAGCACCCGTTAAAGGTAGAGTCCTTGCTCAGTGCACAACCCATACAACCTTATGCAGAGTCCTTGATAACCATATAAAAGTATACATTACTTTCCAGTTGGCAAAGCACTTTGATCTACATTTTGCCATTTAATTCCCATAATAAGTGAGTGTTATCAGCCCCTCTTACAGATTCAATGAAAGGGTGAAAGACTTGAATGAGCTAAAATCAACCTGTGTGTTCCAATTTCAAGCCCTTTTTTCTTTACACTAAAAATATAGATGAACCCAGATGCCACCTAGTCTTTCTATGAAACACTGGTAGAGGCAGGAGCCCAGGCAAATGTTGACAGTTGTCCCTCAGCATCAGCTTCTTCTGTCTGTAACTTCTCACTAAATGCAGGGTGTCTGTGCTTTGTTGCTTGTATGATTTGGATTTTCATGGCATTTCTAGTGATGTGGAAGGAGCGCTAGATATGGGGTCTGGCATATCTAAATTCCAATGCCAGCTCCACCCCATGTAGTGTGGTGACCACCAGTAATTCTCTCTCCATTATCTGAGCCCAAGTCCCTCATCTATAAAATGGGGGCAGTCATTGCTTTCTCGTTCTTACACTTTGTGAGGATAGATGACATAGCGCACCTGCTGCTCTTACTATTTCCTTGACTATCACTTTTCCTCCCAGCATCCCACCTCCACCCCCATTGTCCCCTTCCCAGACCACTCATGCACACATCATAGAGCTCCCAAGTCCTCCCCAGGCCTGTGGTCTTCCCATGCATCATTTCCACCTTGTGCTTCCTCCCTACGTTCTGTAGGAATTCCTAAAGGTAGTCTTCTGGACTAGGAATTTGTTTTTTGCCATGCTGCTATTCCTCGTCTCGAGTAGGCTTTTCTTCTGAATTTTCTCCACCGTGCTTTTCCTTTCCCTGAGCTCTCTGTTCTAATTGCTTGCTTTTCACAACAGGCTCCTCGTTGTTTGCTCACACTTCCTAATATGGATCTGAATCCACCACTGCGGCAGGGTTCCATCCATCAAGGCTGGTTGCTGAGATGAGTAGGTGAGACTGAGCCAAACTCAGAACTACTGGGAACAGGCTGGAAAGCTGTCTTCAGGCATAGGGCATTTGGCTTTAGAAGTCTAAAGGCCCCACCTCACTTGATGACCTGCCTCCACTGGAGGAAGGGACTGATGCTTGTGTCCATGACTCTGCACATCAGCTTGCTACCTGTGGCCCCCAAAGCCACCCCCTGTTCCGTCACCTGCTTGCAAATGCTTTGGGGACATTCATGTCCCCTAAATCTATATTCACTCCAGGGGATTAGAGAAGACATTTCTGTGGAGACAGAGAACTGTAGAAGGTCCCATAGCTGTGCTCATCTCCCTCAAGGTTTGCAGTAGTGGTCCAGAGTCACCTGGAGCTCTGCCTTTCACTCACATTAGGAACCAGAGGCAGCAAATTTTCCACTCAAATTTGTTAACAGTGATGCACACTTAGGTAATCCTTCTAGTAAGTTGCAGGGCCAGGATTACAAGCCCCTCCCACCCCCACCCCTCCCCACCCCACGAGTCTGGCTCCTGAGGCCATGTTCTCATCTGCTGTGCCATATTTACTGACTAGAGTCTAGAGACAAATGGTGGAGCTGGCCACTCCATGCAAGAGGGCTGGCTGTTGAAGCCAAGTTTGTCCCACCAAGTTTCCACACCCCTACCCTCCACCCCCATGCCTGGCCTTCCTGCCAGCCCCTGCTCTGTGAGGCTTGGCATCCTGTGGGACTCTTTGGGGGGTTATGTCCTCACCTCTCAGGGGTCCCTCCTCTCTCAGTCTGACTGTCTGCCTTGTATCTTTCCAGAGAAATGAATGGCTTCTTCGCCACTGATGCTCTTTCTTCCTTTTTCCATCAATGTTCTTGTTTTGTCATTTGTTTTCCTTTAGGTCTTTCAATAACTATTTGAGGCAAGGGAGAGAGTTGGACCAGATGTTCTCCTAGACTCATTTTAGGTGTAACGTCCTCTGTAACTCAACATAAGACACAGACAGCCCCTTCATTTCTGCCCAGAGAAACAGCCCCTGCTTTCTCTTTCATGAATTGAGCCACAGTGAGGTTAGAGGAGAAGGCAGCAGGAATCACTGATATTCATTTTAAAACCTCTTAGAACTGCTTCTTCTGAATCTAAACCCCCGATTTCTATCCAGGGGTTCTGAGTTGCCAGACCTCTCCATGAGCAACTGGGAAATTAGTTCAGTGCTCTTCAGGGTTTTCTTTTATACATCAAGGAAGCAACAGGGAAGCAATAGAATGAAAAGAAACAGGAAATAATGAAGACTGACACCATCCCCTCAGCGCCAGCCACCTCACTCGCCCAAGTCTTCATTTGAATCAGGAAATAAGATTATAAATGAAGATATTTCCCCCTCTGGCAAAATGAATGCAAAGAAATATTTTAGTAGGCAACTTCCATCAGCACAGAGAGATCAGCAGGAGGCTTGTAGAAGAGAAGCCGATTAGGTGATGCACGTCAGCTTGCAAATTGAGACACTTTCACTGAAGAAGCCCTGTATGTTCTACTAAAATGTTCTGTTTGCTGTAGGGTTGCTGGCGGCGGCGGTGGTGGTTTATTGCAGGTCGCCATGTAATGTACACATAGTTAATCTGCCGTGTACACATCGCTTATCTGCCACTCGAGATGGAAGATTTCCTGCACTAACCGGAGAATGTTCCCCAGTACCCTGTGCGTGATTGGAATCCACGGAGGGGAGAGTGCAAGAGGAAGATGGAATGAAGACTGAATAACACCAAACGGTTCTCTTCTACTTTCAGAAAACCTCAAAAGTGACACTGTGGATTTTCACTGGTCTGAGCTCCCTGTGACCTGTGGTGAGGCAAAAGGGATTTTATATAAGGCGAAAATGAAACACGGTGAGTTCCTTGGTCTTCTGCCCTTTGGAATCCCTAGATGAAGGAATTGCTAGAAGAGGGGAAAATACCTGTGTGTATAATTGATCAGGAAATGGACCCTGCTAGCTAGACTGCAGAAGAAGAAATGCTTCCTTGGAAGGAATTTTCAAACCCTTCCACATCATGATATTTCCGGCAACCAGACCATTCCACTCCCACCTGGAAGTCACCTATGGACCCCTGCGGTAGTGACAGCCATGTCCTTGCTGCATGTAGGTACCACATGAATGCAAATTCTGTCCCACCCCCTCACCACTCAGGCTTTAGGGCTGCCTTCAGTCTAAGAGAAGAGGCATCCAGACTTCCCTGCTACTATTTCCACCTCACAGAGGAAGTCTCGCTTGACCCGGAAAGGTAGAAGGCCACAATTAGGAGGAGTTCAGAGGTTTGGGGTGAATTCACAGAGGATGGGGGTAGATCCAAAAACGGGCTGTCTTTTTCTTACAGGATCCTCAACGAAGTGCATTCAGAATGAGAACGGAGCTTGGCTCACACCAAAAGAATTTGAAATTGAAGGAAAAGGAAGAGACACAAAGAACTGGAAACGGAGTATACGTTGCAGAGGAAAGCCCCTATTAGAGCTGCTGAAGGTAGTGTCATGACAAGGGAAGATAGGGGACAGCTTTAAATCCTTGAAGGAGAAGTGGAACCTTTAACAGCAGAAATGTGAAGAGCTCCCATTAGGATTCAACAGCATGATTTATAAGGAGCTAAATGTTCAAAATATGGCTGACAGAGTTAGGGGCACAGATTGTTCCTGATGGTGGAGAACTTTAAATCCAAGGAAAGGAGTGTAGGAACGTTAAATGCAGGCAAAGGGGTCTGAGGTCAAGAGAGATGTAAGAAGCTAAAAATAAACTAGCTGAAGACAGATGCCTACAACCACTCCCCTGCATCCTCTACCTGACACCTACTCAACGCCCAGCTCATCTGGGCCCCCTGACATTTCCAGGCCCCCCAGTCCATGGTCTGTCTCTCCTCTGCATGTCCACAGCCCACTATTCCTGTCCTGAGAACAACTAGGCTTTGTGAGACCAGGACCCAACACAAGGCGTCTCAGTGACACTCAAGAAATTATCACTAGAATGAAATCATAAAAATTTTATCTAGAGAGGAAGAAATGGAAAGAGAAAGGAATGGGTGGGAAACAACTAAGAAAGAAGAACTTGGCTCGTGGGTTTGAGTAACAGGGGGAAAAAATGATTTTATCACTAAGTGAAGTCCAAAAGAAAAGCTGACTGTGAGAGGGAGCTAATTTTTCTTTTGGACGCCTTGGGTTTGAGATCCACTGTGCTATCCGGATACAGATATTCACTAGGAAGTGGGAAGGCCAGTATCTACAAAAGAAAAACCTCCAGAATAACCTCATTCATTGACTCCTTCAGTCTTTCAGAATGGACTTTTGCTCTGTCCTCCAAGAATAAATCTCAAGAGAGACTTAAATAGCAAGTGAATTTCTACTACACTGTCAGTCACCATCTTGCAGACTTTCCCTGTCTGGAGGCTCAGTTAGCGCTTCTGAGTTTCCCAGCTCTGACTCACCTCCACATGTGGGCACGGCATCTTCAAAATCATAATCTTCATAGTTAATTTGGGATGGGGAAGCAAATGACTCTAAAATAAAAATTAGATGAAAAAGCTCATGTCCATGTGTTTTAGAAAAAGATCTGGATATTTGGAGTGCTGTAAACCAAAGTTGTCAGAAATAAAATGCTCTGAGCCTAGGCAACCTAGCAAGACCCCATCTCTAACAAATTTGTTTTAATCAGCCAGGAATGGTGGTGTGCACCTGCAGTCCCAGGTAAGGCTGAGGTAGGAGGATTGCTTGAGCCCAGGAGTTCAAGACCAGCCTGAGTGATATAGTGAGACTCTGTGTCACTATACAATACAATGTAATCTCAGCACTCTGGGAGACCAAGGTGGGTGGATCCCCTGAGCCCAGGAGTTTGAGACCAGCCTAGGCAACGTGGAAAAACCCCTTCTTTACAAAACATACAAAAATTAGCCAGGCATGGTGGCATGTATCTGCAGTCCCAGCTACTCAGGAGGCTGAGGTGGGAGGATCACTTGAGCTCTGGAAGCAGAGGTTGCAGTGAGGTGAGATCGTGCCTCCACTGCACTCCAACTGGGGCAACATGAAAAGCAAAAAAAAAAAAGGCATTGAAATAGGAACAGCATATGAAAGGAAAAGAGGATCCTCTGTGATCACACACTAAGTATGGCTGAAGGTTCCATGCTTATTGGTAGCACCAGGATGGAATGACACCTTTAAACTGAGTTTTGTCTCTGCAGGGCCTCCCTACAGGTGGAATGGCAACCATCTGTTGGCTGAACTAACTCCCCCTCCTCAACCTCCTCTACTTGCTTAAATATGTTCTGCAGACATCAGTTCCACTCGTGAGCTTCCCATTAGATGTGAACTTCCAGCAAGACAAGGGTGCTTCTCTCATATTGCCCCGGAGGCTGGCCTGACCAGGCTGGATTCATTCAAAGTTTAAGGCAGTGGTCTCCCAATGCTATTAGATAAATCATCTTTCCTGTGCTTATTTGAAATGCCCTGAGAACGAGGGTGCTTGCTCAGTGTAACATAATCGTAGCAAAAAATTAGGGACGAACGCAAGTTCTATCAGTATTGCAGAATGAACTGATACAGCTACAGGATGCTGTTGTAAAAGCCTTTCTTCTAGAATATTAGACCTTTGATATAGACATGTATACATGGATTCGTACGTATCGAGTTATCATTCAATCAGTGGAAAAACCACCAAAGGGTTTTGAGGTCAGGAGAGTTTCAGGATATTTACGGTAGTAGTGATGTGGGGAAGGAACCCATTGCTGCTTATGTGAATGTGTAGATAGGTCTATGAGTAAAAAAAATAGCCAAAAGAATCGACCTCACTTATTTTGAGATGAGATCACAGGGCCATTTGCCTTCTGTGTTATACATTTATGTACAGTTGGAATTACAATGACCATTTATTATCTTTTGCAACCGGAAGAAAAAAGATCTTTAAAATCCAGATCATTCATTAATAGCCCCAATGCAATAATATCCTCTAACTGTCCTAATGCCACATGTCAGCACATAATAGCCAGGGGCATGCTTGACTCAGCCTCTCAGTCCCACCTTCCAGGGCCAGGTTGGGAGAAGAAGATGAAGGTTTATCCAACTGAGAATGAGCCAGTGCAGGCCTTGCCCTCAGCCCCGTCATCCGTCATGACTCCTGCTCTGCAGCACCTCTGTCTCCACTGCAGTCTCACTTGTGTATGTGTACAACAAAGAGACCGATGCTGCACTCCTAAAGTGTGCTTTGTGGTCACCTGCAGGGTGCTGCCTCCATGACCCACACATGATAGACAGCTGGTGCAAAGAGCCACAGGCTTGGCTTGTGAGAGCCTCCATCTCCAGAAGGGCCTGGATGTAGCCAGCAACTGCCACTCGAATGGCATATAGTGTGGGGCTGAGGAGAACAGCTTTTGGGGTTCTTTTTTTTTTAATACCAGAAGCCCATGGCCATCATGGGTGGTCCAGAGATGCTAGGAGGCATGAGAAGAAGTCTCCAGACTCTGGAGGGCACTAATGGGAATGCCTGCTGTAACGCAATTTGACAGATTCTCAAACCTTTTGTTAGAAGGAGCCCCATTCAAAGTGGGCCTGTTTGCAAGTAACAACATAAATGGGCTTATCTAAAATCTATGAGGGATTCATTTTCTCCAGAACTCCAGAGGCCCAAAGGATGCTTGGAGGCTTGTTAGAACACTGTGGGCACTTAAGGATCAGTAATTATTTTTTGACAGTGTCAGGGATGGAGCATCCCTCGACTCACCAGATAATGCCCAGATGGTGGCGGATCCCTGTACTCTGTCTGGCACAGTGGCCCATGCTTTTTTGTTTTATTTTAATTCCACATCCATGCAGAAACTCAAACCCCATCTTTTTCTGTGAGCTGCTTGTGAGTAATGTCCTGAGGGTGTCAAATGAATCTGCTGAGAGGTGATCACCTTCAGGGTGATGTGATCCTGTGCTCCTAGAGAGTGTCAGATGCAGTTCAAATCCTGCGTGCAAAGATTGCCTATGGTGGAGGAACTGTCAAGGGACCCTGTAGTAGCCAGATAATGGTCTATTGTGTCCCTTCGGGAGTGAAAGCAACCCACAGCTGAGATGCTGTTGAAATAGACACGGAGCAGAACACATTAGTCAAATCTGTGTCTGCAGAGTATTTACCAATTGCTAAGTGGATGGAATCAGTAATTTCAATAGCACTGGGCCTTCACAGGTGGGGTCACAGCATTCAGATTGCAGTCATTCACCATGAGGCATCATTCATTCTTTCCAAGTTTAAGAACAGACGAAATTGGGCTTTTAAATGGAGAAACAGTGGGACTAGTCACCCCTTCTCTAAATAGATCTTCTATAATGAGTTTCAATCCTTGAAAGTTCATTTTAATTATATTGATCAGTATTAAATATTTTAACAGAGGTCCATGGAGTTTCATTTTGTAAAGCTGATCGTAGGTGCCAAAGATAACTTAATTTTAGTTATTTTAATTTGTTATTTACTGGGTCACAGCATCCATGCCCACTATGGAACATTCTAGAGCCATGTTATGTCACAGCCATGGGGCAGTTAGGCAAGGCGCCAGGAACAACCGTTCCCACACTCCTGCGCCAACACGCCAGCTCTCATCGTATCTTACTTTGGTCAGTTAGCTCTATTAACAGAGGTTTGGTGGGGCTTAGCGAATGCTGCCTAGAGTGGCCCAGCTCAAAGCACAAGCTTGCCAGCAGGCAGCAACACAGGTCAAAATGCAGCAGAACCCGTTAGCAAGCCACAGCCAGAGAAGAAAAGCCCTTTCTTGGTGTCGGCGATGTTGGTGCTCACCACCCAGATGCTCTGCTTGTGCCGATCATCTTGCAGTTTTCCCCAGGGAGGTGGCATCAGCGCCCCCCACTCAAAATTGGGTTTGGGTATCCGCTCTGGCACACACAAAAATGACATGCTCTAGAACCCCACAGGGTCAGCATTTGTGGGTCTCCACGGTCCTAGCGGTGCCCACGTTATCTGCCCTTGCAGTGGAAAAACTCGGATCAATGCGAGGTGTGCTGTAAAGGGGGACAACTTCTCTGCTGCGGTACTTGTCCACGAGCCTTCCATGAGGACTGTCACATCCCCCCTGTGGAAGCCAAGAGGTGAGTGGGATGCAGCGGCGCCTCACCTCCAGATGGAAGGGCAGGACCTGTGAGTGTCCGGGACAGGGGTGTGACAGAGAGTAATCTGGTGTCAGAGACTCTGGGCCTCTCTGGGTCTCTGAGGCTGCCAGTGAGCCTCTTGACCCTGGAGGTGCCCTTTCCTAGGATGCTATTCCTTGGATAGCAGGGAGTCCTGTCCAAGGGGCGTTGGGGACGGGAAAAGCCAGCTTATATTCTGTGCCTACTCAGAAAACACAGGAAGCACAGCTTGTCACACACGGTGAACACGGTCTCATCCGGCTGATGGAGGCCTGAGGTCCCTGCAGGTGAAAGCCCAGATTTGGACACTCAAGCCTGGCAGGCAGGGCTCCTTTGTGCCTGCCACAAAGGAAGAGAAGAGAGCACACACTCACAGTGACGCCACCTTCCTCAGCCTGGCCACCTGCGCTTACCACTGATGCGAGGGAAGGGTCAATGCTGGAGACCCCGTATGGGACTCTTGGACACTCTGGGAGGTGTTCCGCCCTCATGACTGAGCCCATCCTTCCGGAGAGAGGACAGTGGCAGCCACAGGAATGGTGGCCATTTCCAGGAGCCCTGCCCTCTGCTCATCTTATGTCCAACCTCTCAGGACCCCCTGGAGCTGCACCTTCTGCAGGATGAAGAGGTCTTCTGGGAGCCAGCAGTGCCATCGTGTATCTAAGATCCTGGAGAGGCGGATGCAGCCTCAGGAACAGTTGGTGAGTTGGGTGCAAACCCCAAGCCTTTGTTTTTCCCTGCTCGCAGGAGAAGCACAAACAGGCACAGGTTCAGGGCAGTGCACCAAAGGGAGCCTTCAATGTCTCCCTTTAGAGGATGATGATTTATTTACTGCCCAAACACAGAGTCTAATCAAAATCCCACACACCCCGTGGGCCTCATAAGCATGGTTGGAATGCTGACTGCACCTGGCTGCCCCGTCTGTGCGCATGTCTAGGCACTGGCCTGACTTCACTGTTTCCGAGCAGTGTTTCACTCTCAAGCCCTCTTCATGTTTTACAGAAATGTGAGTTCCTCCTCTTGAAGGCCTACTGTCACCCACAAAGCTCCTTTTTTACTGCCATCCCACTTAATGTAAGTCATATTTTACGGTTCTCTTGCATAAAATGCATTTTGAGAAATTGGGGGGCTGAATCTGGCAGGTGCTGCGGTTTGCTCAGGAAGCTGGAGAGCAGGAGAGAAGGCCAGCATGGCAGCAGAGGAGCAGGGAAGCAGGGGATTTAGCAGGGGGTTAGCTGGAGAGGGAATGCCTGGTTCAAACTCCACCCCACCATGCAGAGGCACTGGGATACCTGGCGAGTTGCTTCCCTTCCTGTGTATCTCAGTTTCATCTTCTCTTTGGGAGGAATGTCTTTCCTACTAGGGATTAAGAGTCACAGGTGCCAGCTGGGCACAGCAGCTCACGCCTGTAATCCCAGCACTTTGGGAGGCTGAGGTGGGAAGATCACCTGAGGATAGGAGTTTGAGACCAGCCTGGCCAACATGGCAAAACCCCATCTCTACAAAAATATGAAAATTAGCTGGACTTGGTGGCAGGCACCTGTAATCTCAACTACTCAGGAGGCTGAGGGAGGAGAATCGCTTGAACCCGGGAGGCGGAGGTTGCAGTGAGCCGAGACCGTGCCACTGTACTCCAACCTGGGTGACAGAATGAGACTCCATCTCAAAAAAAGAAAAAGTCACAGATGCCAAACCGTGTGGGTTCCCATCCCAGCTCTACCACTTTCTAGCTGAGACATCTTGGGTAGGTTCCTTGACCTCCCCATCTCTTGGCTTGCTCATCTATGAAATGGGCCTCATTATTTATTGTTCCCGTAAATGTGGAGATTACATATTCATATACTTGGCTTAGAATTTAGTTTATCTAGTGCCTAGAACAATGGCTGGCCTAAAGAGGTCAGATGATATTATTGTTATCCTGGAAATAAAGGCTTGGATTGTATTTAAGCTGGATCCGCTCCAGTGATGACAGCTGTGCTAACGTCACCTCTGTGGTGGCTTTGTCCCCAGATTCGAGATTATGGTGAGCCCTTTCAGGAAGCGATGTGGTTGGACCTGATTAAGGAAAGGCTGATTACGGAAATGTACACGGTGGCATGGTTTGTGCGAGACGTGCGCCTGATCTTTCGCAACCATAAAACATTCTACAAGGTAAAGGGCATTTCCTGCTTCCTTTCTGCATCTTTTCTACTTTCCTCTAATTTCGGGGACAGCGGAATTTTGCAAGAATTACACCCAGTTTCTTCCTGGGGAGATCTCACGCAAGACAAGGATTACGGAAAAAAAAAACCCGCCTCCGCATTCCTGGAGACAAGGTGTGAGGGGTAAAAAGAAAAGCAAGCAGGACGGGGAAGGGATCCCGGAACAGTAGCTGAAAAAACCACACTCTGTTCCCAGATCAGCAGCCCATTCCCACCTAGAGCGGTAAATGGCATCCGGCCTCTTTGTTCAAACTGGAAGGAAAGGCAGTTTATACTTATATTGTTCTTCCTGTCTCACAAATATGAAAATCAATAAGCAAGCAAAACAAAATCAGTTAAATGTCCTGGATATTCAGGCTTGCATTTTTTTATACAAAAACTTCCCATTGAACTCAAACATCTGGAATTGCCTTCCAATACAGTGTGAGTTTCACCCTCCTTTATGAGGGAGAGACAGCTAGTTGAGCTATCTTTCAATCCAAGACATTTTTAACTTTGGTTTGCCCTAATTTTTATCCTCGCTTGTACAGAAATTTTGGGGGAGGTACCTAAGGAAGATTTTCATCTCCGCCCAGCTTCCCTCCCTTCTTCCATGCCGGGAGTTGGCATGTTCACCAACCACACATTGTAAACGGGTACCCACTCATGGGGCTGGAGGGAGAAAGGGTTGGCTCAGAGAGCCACTCAGTGTCTGGCATATCCTTAGCCCTGGAGAACAAAGGGTCATCCTTCCTCAGCGAGTGGGCTTTCGAGAAATGCTTTTCTAAATTTGTTTAAGCTATTTTGCACCATGCTCAGATTTGCGGTGATCAAAACCAACCCTTCAGTGCAGATTGCCCATCAGGCGGAAGTTAACCACCAGGTGGAGGCTTGTGCTTCTTGATATTTTAGTACAGCATCTCCCCATCCATTCTGCCTGACTGCTGGGGCTCCTAAAAATATATGAGTGAGGCTGGGTGCGGTGACTGACACCTATAATCCAAGCTTTTTGGGAGTCCAAGCGGAGATGATCGCCAGAGGCCAGGAGTTTGAGACCAGCCTGAGCAATGTAGCAAGACCTTCTCACCCCAATCTGGGGGAAAAAAAAAGTTTTCAAAAGCTGGGCGTAGTGATGTGTGCCTACAGTTTCAGCTACTCACAAGGCTGAAGTGGGAGGGTCACCTGAGCCCAGGAATTCAAGGCTGCACTGAGCTATGATGATGCCACACTACCGCAGCCTGAGTGACAGAGAAAGACCCTGACTCAAAACAAAACAAAAACAAAATGAGTGATTTGATGGCTGTAATCCTTCTTCCTTAAACGTATTTGTTTGCTTTTTTCTCTTTCAGGCTTCTGACTTTGGCCAGGTAGGACTTGACTTAGAGGCAGAATTTGAAAAAGATGTCAAAGATGTGTTTGGTTTTCACGAAGCCAATGATAGCAGTTTCCGGACCCCTCCTTGACCCTGTTCTGGAAAGGCTGAAGCATCCCAACCTCAGGATCCAGCTGATTAGGCCCTGGCTTGGACTGTTGATCACCAGCGAGTCTGGGATGTAATTGGCTGCTCTCAGGACCCAAACCCAGACCCTTCATAGGATTATCACACCCTCCACCACCTTTATTCTTTCTCTTTGCCTTTGAAAGGCTGTATCGACACTTAGAAAGGAATTCGCACCTCCTTAACACCATCAGATACCCCATCAGAGTGCATATTCTCCCGGGTTTTTAGAGTTGATTTGTTCAAATCAGGATCTAAACAAGTTTCACACATTGCATTTGGCTCATCTGTCCCTGTCTATTTTAAGCTATAAATTGCCATGTATTTACTGAAGAACTCAGGGTTTTTGTCCTATTAAATTTTTAGGATTTTCTGGTTGCATTTTCTTAGTGGTACATTCCTCTCTTCCTCTCATTTTTTGTAAACAAAGTCAGACCTAGAAGCTTGCTCGAACTCAGGTTTTGAGGGGTTTGTTTTGATTTGCAGGGGCTTTGGCACACAGGCGTCACGGGGGAATTTGGGATTATTTTTATGTTAAGTTTGGCAGCAGGTGCAGGTGTTATCAGCCTGATCATTTATCACCATGGTTTTAGCAATACCTTAATCCGTGATATCATCAGGGGTTGCAAAATGATGAGATTCAGATTTTATTTTTTTACATCATTATTAGTCAGAATTCTTCTGCAAACAGCTTCTCTTTTACAATGTTTGGGGTCAGGAGCAGTGGCTCATGCCTGTAATCCCAGCACTTTGGGAGGCCGAGGTGGGCGGATCACAAGGTCAAGAGACGGAGACCATCCTGGCCAACATAGTGGAGTCCTGTCTCTACTAAAAAATACAAAAATTACCCGGGTGTGGTGGCACATACCTGTAGGCCTAGCTACTTGGGAGGCTGAGGCAGGAGAATCACTTAATCATGGGAGGCAGAGGTTGCAGTGAGCCAAGATTGCGCCACTGCACTCCAGCCTGGCAACAGAGTGAGACTCCATCTCAAAAAAAAAAAAAGAAAAGAAACAATATTTGGTTACCTTGAAATAGGGGTTATACAAAAAGATAGGATAAATGCTTTTTATTATTGTTATTATTTAGCAATGTTCAAAAGAATGAATTGACTTCCTAATATCCTCTAAAGGTGACCAGAGATTTTTTAAAATTATCTTGAAACTACATATTTAAATGCTAATACCTTTATTGATGCTTGAGTTGCCCACTTTTTTTTTTTTTTGAGACGGAGTCTTGCTCTGTCACCCAGCTTGGAGTGCAGTGGCATGATCTCAGCTCAGTGCAACCTCCTCCTCCTGGGTGCAAGCAATTCTCCTGCATCAGCCTCCTGAGTAGCTGGGATTACAGGCATGCACGAGTTGCCCACTTTTAGTGAAATCTCCTCAATTTGACTCCTGAATTGTTTTGAAATGATCCCAGCACTCTTTGATGGTGTATTAGCTATCTACTGCTTTGTAACAAATAACCTCAAAGCTTAGCTGCTTAAAGGAAAGAAACATTTTATTGCTCACTATTCTGCAGGTCAGGAATTCAGGCAGCGTCCATGGGGATTGTTACCTTTGTTCCACATGGTATTGACACATCCCATTTATACTTGCTCAGTGTCACTTCTGCCACATTCTATTGGTCAAAGCAAGTCACAGGGCCAGCCTCAGAAGAAGAAAGAATTGATCTTACGTCTTGTGGAATGAGTGGCAATGTCACATTTCAAAGGAGAATGTTGCTTGGGAAGAAACATCGTTGCTTCCATCTTTAGAAGCAATCTACCATAGTTCACCCTCTGGCCACAGTAGTTCACATCTTTCCCATATGCAAAAGACACTTCTCTCCCCGCAGAAGTCTGACTCTTTGCAGCACTGGAACAAAGTCCAGGACCTCATTATCTAAATCAGGTTCAGATCAAATAAGGCTTCTTGGGGCTGGTCACAGTGGCTCACACCTGAAATCCCAGCACTTTAGGAGGCCGAGGCAGATGGACCACTTGAGTCCAGGAGTTCGAGACCAGCCTGGGCAACATGGCAAAATCTCATGTCTACAAAATATGTTTTTAAAATTAGCTGGGCAGCTCAGGTGGAAGGATGAGTCACAGTGAGGCAAAAATGCAGCACTGCATTTCCAGCCTGGGCCACAGAAAAGAAAGAAAGAAAGAAAGAAAGAAAGAGAGAAAGAAGGAAGAAAAAGAAAGAAAAGAAAGAGAAAGAGAAAGAAAAAAGAAAAAGGAAGGAAGGAAGAAAAAAGGAAGGGAAAGAAGAAGGAAGGAAGAAGAGAAAGAAGGGAAGGAGGGAGGGAGGAAGAAAGGAAGAAAAAAGAGAGGAAGGAAGAAAGAAAAGAAAGGAAGGAAGGAAAGAAAGAATGAATGAATGAACAAGGAAGGAAGGAAGGAAATAGGCTCCTCGGGCGTGGTTCATTGGGTGCAGCTCCTTGGGCGCACCTCCTCTTGAACTAGAGACCTGTGAGCTGAAAAATTGTTTCTCCCTTGCTGCCGACATTCAGTGATGAAAACAGGGACAGAATAACCACTATAGACGCTTCCGTTTAAACCGCGGAAAAGGAAGCAGGAGTCACTTGTTTACAGCAATTCTGAAATCCAGTCAAGCACATGTTGCTAGTTCCCCCTAATCCCAGGGCAGGAAATTTTCCTTGATACATGATTTATATGTATTACACACCTCTAATTCCCATCTAACCCCACAGGCTTCTCCGTGTCTCCCTCCGTTCTGTGCTGGTCTCACTTCTCCAAAGTGAGAAGTTTACTCACTTGCTCAATCCTCAGGTCCCACAATAAAAGTTAACAGAATTTCAACACTCAGACCACTGTGAAAAACAAATGAAATTGGTTTCTAAATGTCTGTGGAGTTTATTTTTGTTTGTTATAGATATAATATACCATTGCAGAGGTTATTTAAAATACCATTGTAAAGGGCATTTAATAGCCTTGCGGAGGATTTTGCATTTGTATTTATAAATGAGACTGGTCTATAGTTTTTACATAGTGTCACGGTGAGATTTATGGTTATCCTAGCTCAGTAAAATAACGTGTCAAATTTTCTACCTTTTAATATGTGCTGGAATAATTTATAGTGTTTTAAAGTAACCAAAAGTATGTGACCCAGAGTTCACTGGGGAGATGGTATTGACCACACTATATGCTTTTTTTATGGTTGTTAGACTATGCAGAATTCTGTTGATTTCTTTTTTTTTTTTTGAGACGGAGTTTCGCTCTTGTTACCCAGGCTGGAGTGCAATGGCGTGATCTCGGCTCACCGCAACCTCCGCCTCCTGGGTTCAGGCGATTCTCCTGCCTCAGCCTCCTGAGTAGCTGGGATTACAGGCACGCGCCACCATGCCCAGCTAATTTTTTGTATTTTTAGTAGAGACGGGGTTTCACCATGTTGACCGGGATGGTCTCGATCTTTTGACCTCGTGATGGATGCACCCGCCTCGGCCTCCCAAAGTGCTGGGATTACAGGCGTGAGCCACCATGCCTGGCCCTATTCTGTTTTTGAGACAGTTCTGCTTTTTTGTTTTTCTAAGAAGTCATCTATTTTATTTGCGGTTAAAAGCAATATAGGTGGTCTTATTTCTGTCATATTTTTTTATTTCTCTTTTTAATGTTTTCATGTTGTTTTTGTGCTTCTGCCTTCTATTTTGGAAGGCATCGTAACAGTTTTTAGTTCTAATGTTATAAGTTTTCCCAATGCATTTTAACTCATTTTTTTAATGTCAAAGTCAAAAATAAAATATCTGCAATGTGGCACATACTTAAGGCAATGTGGTTATCACTTGTAGACCTCTCAGCTCCCTGTTCAGGTCTTTTCACTCTCTGGAAACATACACATGCATTATTATTAAATTTTTTTGCTTTACTTTATAAATTATGTTTATTCTATTCAATTGTATCATTTGCTAGTTTCCGCATTACGTAAATTATTTGTCATGTCATATGTCACATAAAGTAATTCAAAAGCAAAAATTAAACATTTGTGTTACGAGGCCAGGCGCGGTGCCTCACACCTATAATCTCAGGGAGGCCTAGGCGGGTGGATCACCTGAGGTCAGGAGTTCAAGACCAGTCTGACCAACATGGAGAAACCCCATCTCTATTCTTCTAAAAAAAAAAAATTTGTGTTACATGATAACCTACATTTATGAGAACAATATTAACGTCTTTCTCTTTTCACTGTTTAAATTCTCTGCTGGTCTTTCCCTGCCACGACTTCTTCGTACTTCCTTTTTGCTCCACCTTTCAGTCGAGTGAAGTATGTCTTTAAATAATTTGAAAAGAATTACATGGACGGGATGTTGACTCTTAGCATATCTTAGAATGTGTTCTATTGTTTTCATAAATTAATAACATTCTGTATATATATCTTATCACAACTCCTCACCTTCAAAACTGAGTTAACCTTTTTCCACTGTCTTTGGGGATTTTGTTCTACAACTCTGAAATCTAAGTCCAGCCAGAATTCTGCCTCTTTATTAGTGTGGGGAAACCAGTGCTATTTCCCCTATCATCTCCATAGTTATAGATTTAGTTATTTTTGCCAGGATAGGTTTCAATATCATGCTCTTCTCATTCACCTTGGCTGGCACACTGAGCCCCTTGATATACATGCCTGGTTCTTTTTCCAGCCCTATGAAATCTTACTGATCCATTTGTTCTGCGCTCACTTTCAAGAATATCTATTATCTACAGGCTATCTGTTCTCCCATCTCCCTATTTTTTATTTTTTAAAAAATGTTTCAGAAAGCACTTCTCTTAGGCCATTCGTATGAGACTGATATTAATACAATTGCAATTTGACAGTATTTTAAACCTAACTTTTTTAGCATGTTAATAATGCTCATTTCTATTTTTTAACAAAAGTTCATAGGATATAAACTTTTCCTAACGTAATACTTTTCTCAAGACAAAGTGGAAAATCATTACAACTTCCTAAATTGTCCTGATATGTGTTTCTGGCTTTTCATTCTTATTTCACTTCCGTGAAGGAGTGAGACCATCGAAGCCCCAGGCCCTGTCCCACCAGGAGGCAGAACCTGATCAGCAGGCCCCCTTCGGCCTCCCAGTGAGGAACTGGGAGAAGAGTGTGTTGGAGTTTCCATTTAGGTACCTAGTATTACAGACTCATAAACAGAAAATGTGTAGAAATTTCTTTTGTTTTTACCTTAGTGTGAACTGTGAAATAGAGCGACCTCACCTATGATCCTGGAAATGGTGGAGGTAGTTTGAGCACTGGCTTGAGAAAAGCATAAAGTAGAATTCCCTTCATTGTATGGGAAGACAATAAACATGGCCATAAAGACAGCTGTTTCTAGTCCCACTTTGAAGTGAATGCTGGGTCCTAGAGATGATGATTTCATCAGCATAGACTTTAGACTTCCAAATCCTTCTGAGAGGTGCACTAGAGGTTCTCCTTCCTAGCATAAGTTCAGTGCATTATGATAAAAGATTCCCCTCCCTACCAGTTTACCAGCGGGCAGGATTGCTGGGTGAAAAAAATCTTACATCCCTTTATGACCTAACACTGTCTTCCATTCTGGCATTGGTAAGCTGATCCTGGTCTGTCTGTCATCTAATTATGGCTCTGGGTTGCTCTATAACTTGGACAGGGGGTCGGCGGGAACCCTAAAGAGTCATTTATTTCTGTCAACTTGAGAACTTCAAACACCAGCAGTTTGGTTGCCATGACAGCCAAGACCCCCATCCCCGAACACTCTCTTCCTTTGCTCCTATTTTTTGCTGTGCTGCTCTCCTGGTTCTCAAATGATTTCTGCCTGCAAGAGCAGGGCTTGGGTTATTCTGCTCAGCCCAGCCGTTCCTCATCTTCCCCCAGACTCGCTGAGCTGTAGGCACAGGTGCTGCCCTTCTGGTCGTTTCCCACTGCTCAGGCCTCGTCTACTTTCAGCACCCACCTCCTTAGATGTTAAAAACTCTTAATGAAACCAACATCAGTGATGCCCCTCCAGACGATGCCAGCTGCCTCTCTCCAGGGACCCATTCCAGTCCTGCACCCAGGCCATAATGACATAGGAGTTCAAATTATTTAGGCAGATAGTGAGGGTAAGGAGTCCTTAGTAAGGTTTTCCTTTTCATGAAAAGCAGCCCCCAAATCATTTCTAACAAAAAGCAGCCTGTAAAATTGAGCTACAGACATAGATAAGCACGCTGGAAACTTGCACAGGTGAATGCCAGCAGCTGTGCCAATAGGAAAGGGCTATCTGGGGGGTAGGCATGTCCAACATGCTGACTCCATCTTCCCTTTTCCTTGCCAACCACATGTACAGTAAGGAACAGACAAGTAGAAAATCCATTTGCATTATAAGAAGATTAGGGTGGGGTGGCCAACTTCCTCATGTGCTATGTAAATGTGACACCTGATCCAACCAATCTGTGGGCCCTATGTAAATCAGACTCTGCCTCCTCAAGACAGTCTATAAAATCCGGTGCACTTTGCCGAGGGCTGGAAGACCCACTTGGGTATTCCTCTGTCTGTGCAGGAGAAAGACTATTCTTTTTTTCTCTTTCTTTTGCCTATTAAACCTCCACTCTTAACGTCACTCCAAGTGTGTCCATGTCCTTGATTTCCTTGGCATGACACCAAAAACCTCAGGTATTACCCCAGACGAACAACGCTGCTTCAGTTTTTCCCATCTGATCCAGCCGGATTCCACTCCATCCTGAACTCTTCCCTCCCGCACTGGTCAGGGACTCTGAGGGACCACAATTCAGTACTAGCTTCAAGTTATGATGTGGGAGGCTTTAAATGACTCCAAACGGCTGCAAAAATGGAACAACAAAAAGCTTTCTTATCAGGAATGACGGGGAACTACGTGTAAACATACATACCCCTTCCAGCTGATAGCAGAAATTCCCCCTCGGAAGATTCATTCTTAGAAACTGGGGAACCATTGTCTCCTGGTTACATATGGCCTTCCTCAGGAGAGGTACACTTTATCGGCATCAGCATCTGGAGTGAGTACCTTTCTCAGATGCTTTCCAAGTTCTGGTGGAGCCAGAGCAAGCTCACATCCTGCAAGTAGTTACAGGAGTTGGTGAGGTCGGTCAGGGCAGGGGCCTTGGACTCTTTGCTTTCCTCCCCTGAGCCCTGATGACCCTGACTGCTTCTCTTTCCTTCTAAAGCTGCTCCCGTGGAACTCCTTCCCTCTTGAAATTAAGTGCGGGGGCTGCAGGATTCCCAACTCTCCTGGCATTCTGTCTCTTCTGTCATTGTGCCATTAAAAACATGCACAGACTATTCATTTCAGCAGTCGTACCCGTGTGAAATGACATGTGAAATAATGAAATCCAAGAAGGCATTGTCTTGCTCACTTCACCTCTGGTCTCAAGTGGGCCATGTGAATCTCCAGAGTCAACTAGAAAAAGGAATACCACCTGGCAAAGTCTCTCCCAGCACAGGACTCCAGGCAGCCTGGCACTAGGCATCCCCACTGGACAAGACCAGAGCTCGGGTGCATTGGCAGAGGGGACACTTTTCCCCTGTAGCAGCTACTGGCATCTGATCATTTACACAAAGGTTTGGCAGAACCCTGAGGGAACCCATGATAACCACTTTCCAGAAGACAGCCCAGGGCCTCAAGCAAGAACTCAGTGGCGAGGACAGTGATCAGACCTGGACACAAGGCCCAGGTATCAGCAGAAAGGGGTGGTTACACGTCCAGGATGTAAGCTGATACTGAAGCACCTGACGCACTGTTCCGAAATAGAGTCTGTGGGATGTGGGGTTAAGGTTTTGACTCACTAAATGCTGTGCCTTAGGGGCTAAGGTGGAAAAGTCCTTATTTCACAAGGGCAACAGCGAGATTTCCAGTCTCCAGGCCCAGCAATGGCTCTTCAGCTTCCACACCCCAGACCTCAGGCACCTGGGTTGTAGCATTCAGAACGAGGGCCACAACTCACACTGCCTCAGCTCCCTGATTTGATTCAGAATTGACTCATGGTCCTACGAAAGTGCTCTGGGGGTGCCTGTCAAAGCTTGGTCTTAGCCAGTGAAAGCTGAGCATTCAAGTTAATGGGCATTCAAGTTGAGCGAGCATTCAAGTTATGTTAGCACTCACCAGGAGGAAAACACGAGAGGCTTCAGTGCCCCCTAGATCCTGGGGGAAGAAGTGTCGTGTCCTCCTAAGAAGGCAGAATTGGTCCAAACCAGGGACAGTGAGGAG